AGTCCCAATTAGGAAAATGTTTTGCTATATCAGCTTAATTTTTTTATTTGGAGTCCTCCTGAGTGCTAACACACATACTAATCCCATGTTGTGATTAGCTCAACAATTACTTATAGAATGTTAGTCACCCCAGAAATGCACTGCTGCTTTCTAAGTCACTCTAGAGCCCTAGCAGTGTAAGTGTACCTAAAACAGTTCTAAGCACTGGGCATGACTGGAGCTACATGTAATGATTACATGTAACGACTACAACAGAGTGCATGATATACTGGCAAAGTCCCAGATTAAAAATTAGAGTTTGTAGGCTCTAGTCCCAGGACTGCCACTTCATTGTGTAAATTTGGGTAAACTGTTTACTTTTCTGGAAGGCTTTATTCTTTTTTTAATTGTTGAAGTGGAACTATATAGAAACTATTTTACACATGTTAAACTATATGCGCATGGCAAAAAAATAAATTAATTTAAAAAATCAATGTAATAGTACACAATGAACATATGCCTAGGAGTAAGCATGAGGTGGAAAGCACACATCTGTTACTACAACACAGTTCTTATATGCCTCTCATTGAACATCTTGTTTTGTCACATGATTTTTCAGCTTATAGATTTATGTATTTGTTTGTTTAGGACAAGGTCCTTACACATAATCCATTTGCTTCCTCTAGGACTCAAATGAAGAAATAGTCATTCAGGTGATTTATTTTTGCTCATATGTTTACTTTAGAACCAAGTAAGGCATTGACTCCACTAAACTACTGTATAGTGGTATAAGAAGCATGTATCAAAGTTTATGGAACCCTAGAAATACACTTAAGACCCTGCTTTACAGATTTTTTAAAATGTTATTGGTTACTACATAATCCCAAAAGAGCTGTCATTGTCTAAGGCAGAGATATATTCATGTATGCAGAAACTTATGAATGAACAAAATTACTCATTGTTCAATGCTACAGTAAGTGAAAAAATAAGGTGCATGAACTATGTATAGTATATACCATCTATGTAAGAAAGGAAAGACTAACACAACATATAGTGCTTATTTGCTTGTATGTATGTAACATTTTGTGGGGGGAGAAATACATAAGGAACTGTGAACATGGGTTGCCTCCCAGGCAAGGAATGGTGGGGCTAAATTATAGGTATGGAAGGAAAACTTTCTAAGGCAAATCCTTTTTTATGTTTTGAATGGTGAACCCTGTGAATTATTAGCTATTACAAAAGAAAACACAAAATTTAGATCAATAAGAAGGTTGTTTGAAATGAAATGGGATCACATTTTTAATGGAAAACAATTTTAAGTTTCAAGGGTGAATGCCTGCAAGGTAGAATGGAATTTTAAGAGATCTTCCTTAACAGATCCATCTAAAAACTTCTCACTTTATATGTCCTGAAGCTCTGAAAATTAAGTGACTTGTATAAGTTCAAAAAGCAGAAACATTATAATTATAAATCAGATATACTGATATCTACTCTAGGACTCTAACAGTCTTCTCATTTTGTGTTGGTAAAACTGAGCCAGTGCTTGGGCCATACAGTGGGTTGTCAAGTTCTATTTAAATTTTAGGGTCCAGGCAGAAGTACCTCTGCCCACCTGTGACTATGGTGCTTCTTTTCACCAATTCTCTCCTGCAGGGCAGCAGCTCCCGGTCAGGACTTCTCTTCACTGATCTCCCTTAGCAGAGGCTGCTCTCCTCAAGGCTGCCCACCTGCAACCATGCAGGTTTCTTAGCAAACCTGTCTCTTTTGGGTCAGCTCTTCCTGCCTGCTTGTGTCTATGCAAGTGTCCTTTATTCTTCTGTCCCTTTTCCTAATAAACCTGCCCTTTAAATATAAAAAATAATAAATTTTAGGGTCCAATGTATAAAATAATCTCACTCTCTCAGACCATCAATTTCTTGTCATTACCGTAAGTCCTCACTTAACATTCACAGGCTCTTTAAGGGAATTGCGGTATAATGAAAGCAAATTCCCAAATAATGTCTTTTCATTCAACATTGGTGGAACTGTTTTTTTCCCTCACCCCAATTATAATGAAACCACACTGAGCAAACATGAGTCAGGGACCTGCTGCATACAGCTATACTTGTAAATAGGTCAGACAATCTCTATCACTACACTTATTGCATATGACAAATGTACTTTTTTCTGTCCTAATTCAACTAAATTCATTGAGGCAAGAGCTAAAATGTTTTAAGTTATTTTATTTTTTAAATATAAAATGCATAGCACAAGTATATTGCCAAAAACATTACAGTAGGTTTATAGTCCTTACCCAAAACCCAGGAACTGGATGTATTTTTTAGAGAGGACTTTCTTGGTTGCAAGGTATTCAAACCATCAAGTAACTAGTACCTCAGTACCAGTGGCCAAGGGCAATTCCTTAATCAAACACTAATATTTCTTTAGCAAAACAAATGGGATAAAGACTGCATATAGCTTCTCATTAAATTGGATATTTTGCTACCAAATGAATTTTGTCTCCAAGCTTAAAACAGGTTTTGGTTTTCAGAGCTCTCTGAATATTGAAATTTGATTATAAACTACACTCACGATGGTGATGCTAGAAAATATGGGCTAGTCAATTCAACTTTCATCTTTTTAATGAGATGAGAACAAATAATTTTACCAAGTAACTTACCTATACTTCAACCCAAGGCTGGGTTGAAGATTGCTTTGTGGTTAAGTAATCTAAACTAGAAGAGGTCACAAGAGCTGACATTATGTTAAAAGAGAAAAAGAAAATCCTAATTGTACAACATTGTACTGGTACTGGAAGCTGTTGATTAGTTAATTTAATAAAAGTTTTCTTTGACTAAAACACATGATTTAAAAGTGGAAATAGGCAAATAAAACTTTTGTCCCATATTGCTGACAAGAGGATTGAGGCAATGAGCTTTAATCCTACTGGAAAGTAAGTAAAATCTTTCGGCATCAGTGTACATAGAATGAGGTTTTGCAAATAAATTGATAAGGAGTAAGCAGTAATATATACAATTTTCTCAGCTTGGGACTATTACTCTACTATAAATGAAAGGGGAGTCTTTAAGTGAACCTCTCCAGATTGACTGTTGCATATTAGAACCCCTTATAATGTCCTACACGACTTTTTTTTCTACCTCTTACAAGGGGAAAAGATGTAAGTCAAAACACAGCTCACTAAAATCCTTTCTTTTCTTTCCACAACCCAAGCCCACCTTCATTTTGTTTGGTACTATTACATATTTTTTCCTACCTCCCCCCCGCCCCGCCCCCAAATTTTTACACTGAAAGACCATACGACCACTTTTCAGACAATAAAGTTTGATATAATTCAGTTTGGTGATGCTGACTTTTCAACCTTAAATTTTTACCTACAGCTTAAACTGAATCAATTATTTTGCTTAATTTGTGAAGATAACATCAGCAAGTGTTTATTACAATAATGCATCCCATTCTAAAATGGAAACAGCATCGATGAACATGAAAAACCATCTGAATTTGACTAGTGTTTCAGAAGGAAATACTTTCTCATACATTCACTAAAAAAAATTTTAAAAAAGGAAACCTAACTAGCTAGCTTTTACGACAATACACCAGCATATTAGTAATCTAGTACAACAAAAAAGGTAAACAAACCAGTCAAGACAAAACAACAAACTCCCTGTTGTAGCTCTTGGCCTTTTGCATTCATAAAACTAAAATTCCTTTTGCAGAATTCCTTAGGACATGTGACTTCTTTCCTCTATGCCACCCCAACAAATCATGAGCGTTATCCTGCATGTAATCATTTAGTTTGAGACCACCAAAAATACTTAACAGTCCAAAATGCCAATGGTGACTACTCTGTAAAGAAATGGTTACAAACTACAAACTGTAATTCTAGGACAGAGAATCAATAGACCGGAAAGGAATTCTGGAATATGCTGTCCCCAAGATTCACAAAACAGATTCAGAAATAGCACACGCGGTCACGATGTCCCTTCAGCCACATGACCTCTCTACGAAAGCAGTATTACAACTTAGAAAACTAAACGAGAAACACTCCTTTTCCTCTGGTTAAATCAAGGCAGGGCAGCTGAAATTAGCACAGCAGGGACAGAACCCCAGCTGACAAATCAGAGCGGGTCATGAAGAGCAGAGTCCCTGTGCTTTGGCTACTCCCCTTACCGTTAGAAGTGCTGGGAGGGAAGAAAGGAGAAACACCCCAAAATCCTGGTAGAAAAGCCCCTGGCCTCGAAGATGGGGGTTAGGGAGACGGGGAGGGGCAGCTCCGTGTGTGGTGACCCTTTGTGAACACGCATTCAATGGAAGCTCGGCTCTCACTGAGGCTTGGGGAGAGAGGACTATGGAGGCCTGGCGCGGCCCACAATCGTGGACAGAGCGGAGCTGCACGGATCGCCGACCAAAAGTCTCCGTGGCATCACTCGCCAGCTTCGGGGGGCCCTCCCCTCGCCCACCCACTCAGGGCACTCGGGGGCGCGTGGACTTCCGACACGGCTCGCGGCCGGCCGCATAGACACCGCCTATCTCCTGCCTCAGCGTAATCCCTCCGCTGCGGCCGCGCACTAGTTTTAATCACGCTCCACCCCCTGGCCGCTGGCGTCACCTCCGCCGCTCCAGCATTATTCTGCAGCTTCCAGAAACGTCGCCTCCCCAAACCCAGCCACTCACTTCATGGCGGGCTCTGCAGCCACCAGCCCCGCCCCTACTCGTTGCCGCCGCCAGCGCTCGGGCAGCCGGGAGGACGGCCACGCCTCTGCGGAACCCAACCGGAAGTGCTCGCGTCTTAGCGGTCCCGGTCACGCCTAAGTCCTTTCAGGTCCGGCGCAGAGCAGGAAGGGGAACGCTATTGCTGCGGACCCAAGCCGGAAGTTACTCTCCCCGCGGAGACACTGGTGGGGGAGGAGCAGCCTAAGGGGAACGTGGGTTGAACGTTGCATTCGGTGGTGTGGACCTCAGGCTGGAACAGGAGTTCGGGTCGACCCAGTGCAAGGAAGGGGAGTTCACGCAGCAGGTAAGAGGAGGGAAGTTTTTTTTTTTTCCAGTTCACGAAGTAGAGAAATGGGGGAGAGCTAGGTGACCTATGGGGTAGTCTACGCACTTGAAAGGACGGGCTAGACTGGGAGAGGGAAGGGGTCAGACAGAATTAGGTTGGGTGGGAAGGGTTGGTGTGTAATAGATGAAGTTGCAGATCCGTTTGGACCCAGAGGTAAACGCTGAAGAGAAACCAAAGTTTCCCCCTTCCTACCCTCCTTCCAACTAGTGGGGAGATGAGGAGGATTAACGGGAACCTTGCGCCTCCTTGAGTTTCCAAGGGTGGGTTTTGAAACTGACCTCTGATTCAGGACGACTGGGTTTGATACTTGACAGGACTAGGCATCAAAAGCCATTAAAGGCTTCAAGTCTGTCGTGGACTCACTTTTGACAGTCACGTGCTGAACCCACTTGGTCTCGGAGGGCAAGTTCCAAAGGGGGTAAAACCTCCTCTTTGAGCAGCTGTTGCTTTTGTTTTCCCCCGTTTACGCACGGGATTGTGAACTAATCTTAATTGCTTACTTTTAATTGCTGTTGCCAAGACTAACTTTACACATTAATTGCGCGCTGTTACTGGGTTCATGCTGAACTAGTAATTCACATTCTGACTTTTGGATGGTATCAGTGGCTCACTGAGATGTGAAAAAGGGAACAATTGAAGAAAGATGCCGGGGCTGAATAGGGTAAAAACTGCAAAGTCAGCTTGATCTCATAGTGCGATCAATCAATAAGCTTTAGGTCGTAGAACTACCTTTAGGTCACCCTGAGCTGTTTGGACTTTACTGTTACCAGGTTGGAATGAATAGATGATTGTAAGCTGAGTAGTGACAGACCCAGACTTGTTTTATAGAAGCATCACTTTGGCAATGATATTGGAGTAGGGATGCTATAGAAAGGGTGGGAATTTGAGAGCCTTGCACAAAACTGTCCACAAAAATTGCTAACTTTTACCGAGTAAAGAAGAGGAAAATGAAAGAATAGAGAACTATTCAAATGTTCTAGCACAGTATGTGTTTTTGGAGATTGGAGATACCGAAAGATCTAGATGACATACAAGGAGGTGCGGTTATGTTTGCAGGGAGAACAATTAAAGCAGTCATTTAGGGACAGATTGAGTTTAAGAATCATTCCAGAGGGTTGTATGTAAGACAGAGTAAATTGAATTTGGAAGACTGGAAAAGCTCACCTTTGTTACTCTTTTTTTTTTTTTTTTCCCCTGGGTAAGAGAAAAAGTCATAGGGGAGTTGTAATAATAACATTTGCATCCTGTATACAAGAGAGAGATCCAGCATGACTGGGTAACACCCATGGGACTTTAGATGCCATCTTAAATAGTTTAACTAGGATTAGGAAGGTTAGGGAAGAAAAGTGAAATCATTTTGGGCACTTACTGGAAAAAGCAAAGGTACTTCTCTTCTCCATGGAGAGGAGATAAGGGGATTAGAAGTTCCCGGAAAAGACCCTTATAGGGAGAAGGTCAGAAATAAACATTAAAAGTAACTTCCATTCAGCCTTTGGAGTCGCTTCCATGAAATAAACCCCTTGCCAAAGGCATGCTTTGGGGTGGCAGATTTTGTTCTCCTATAGTCCCACCTTTGGAACTTCCCAAGAAATTCCTCAGTTCAGAAGTTTTGTTGTGCAGTTATTTCATAGAAACAGTTCTGAGAATAGATCAGTCCAATTAAGTAATTGTGTCCAATTTGTAAAGATTATCTTGTAGGTGAGTCCAAGTTAAACCTATACTGTGTAAGCACTTTCTATGGCATCAAAGGAGAAAGATTAAAGATTGTGGCAAACCACAAGTCCAGTTGGGAGTCTTGATGGAAGCTTTGAAAGGATTTCTAAATGTTGGGGTTTGAAGCATCTTCAGATGGGGTGAGGGCAGGTAATGATTTCCTTTCATGCAGTTTGATGTCATCAGTTTGTCAGGTACTCATGAACTAGTAACAGACATTTAAGCACTTCTATCTTGATGATGTCTTTCAAGTTGACAAAGTTGTCCATCGATGGTTTCACTTATAGCAGGAATATGGGGGAACCAAATAAGACATCAGTGTAAAAAAATAATAACAGTACAAAACACAACAAAGCAAAAACAAATAATTATTAAATCAGAGACATCCTGCAGGGGAGGAGGAGAGAGAAGGATCAGAGGGAGGGAGGGAGGAGCACAAGGGACTGAGGTGACAGTGCACGGGTGCATTGGTAAAGGAAATTATGGGGAGGGGACTATACCTGGGGGGTGGGGGGAAGCAAGTATTGTTTAAAAATGAACACTGATGTAAAAAATAAAAAAATTAATAAAAAATAAATAAAATTAGTGTGATCAAAAAGAAAAAAACCCACAAAAACCAAAGTTCTCCATTTTCAAAAGGACAGTTTTAGTTTTCTGTCAATCCGAGCCAGAAAGATTGGGGAGAAAATGAAATGTTAGTTTGAAAAATAATAGCCAATTACTACAAAACTCCAGGACCCAGTCCATTTTATAGATTTAAAAAAATATATCTTAACAGTGATTAAAAAGATGAGAAAAGTTGTTACTGAAACATTTCTTCACCTTTGCTCCAATCTTACCAAATAATTACTATAAAACTTGTTTGTAAATTATGTCTAGTATCAATAAACTTGGCCAATTTTTTTGCATAAGCACAAGAAAAAAAATCTACTTTTAAAATTTTGCTGGAACGCTTAATAAAGGCTCTTATATTGAAGTCTAAATAGCCTCTCAGTAAGCAGGACCATGCCAGTGTCACCATCTGACTTTGCCTCCAAATCTTTGGGTAAGTTCCTTTCCTCTGGGGTCCCAAAATGGGTTCACAGGTCTGTCAAGGGGTAACCTTCCCTACCCTTTTCCTGATAGACCTGGAATCCTGAAAGCAAGACAGGCTGTCTTTTCTTCTGGAGTTCTGAAGTGATTCTAGATTTCTGAAAGATGTCTTGTCTGAAATACGACATTTCAGTCAAAACTTTTGTATACAGTAGTCTGTAGAAAAGAGTCTTATTGGATATATGTAAATAAACACATTGTCATGAGAAATAAGGATACTAAACTAAACGTTCACATTTGAAGGGTTGTCAGGGAGCAAGAGAAAGCTAATGTTTTAGTTCTTCTCAAGAAAGAAGTAATTTACCATTGCTGCAGGTCATAAAACCAAAACATATAATGGTATGTCCCAAAAAATCATCAAAAATTATATTAGCTTTCAATAGTTCATTCAGTCCTATGTTGAAAATATTGATGTCAACATTTTTTAAATTAAGTTTTTCTCCATAAACACTGCAATTTTTTAATTCTCAGTTTCATGACAAATCAGTAAAGCTAAAGATACTTGTCATAGATTTTTTTCTTGTGAATTTTTCCAAATACAAAGAAGACTAAATAACTTCCATCAATGGTCAGAAAACCTTTAAAATCATCCTAATTAATATGCAGTTATAATACAGGATATTTGCTCAGTTTTGTCACATATATTTTAATAACCAGGGTTTACCAGAACACATTAGACTTTAAGAAGTTTCACATATTTTAGAATACAGTTTACATACATGCTGAAAAAGGTTTAACATTTTGCTTATGACAGTGCTTCCCATGAAGTTTCACTATACCCATATTGGCCCAATTTGTTTTATTATCCTTTTCCACAAGGACAACAGTTTAATGGGGTATCTTAGGAGCCCTTACAAAACCTCCCAGTTTATCTAAAATTGCCTGAAATAATCTTGTTTTAAAAATTTACCCTGTTTAACTTAACCCCTTCTAAAGTGTTAAGTTACCAAAAAATCTGAGAGGTTTAATATTTGCTAGATTTTCCTATCTCATTTATTTAAACTTTTACTGCAAACAAGGCATTTTTTTTAAACATTAGTCATAGAACCTAATGAGTCCAGATCAGTTACTTTTTCTTGTTGAAGATAAGATCATGTGCTAATTCTGATTAGTAAACACATTGAAATATAGAATAAAGAGTATTAATACCCAACAGTACAATTTTAAAGGTATGTATGTTTTAAATTAAATCATTAAATTGTCTTAGATCCTGACATCTTGGAAAACATTTTGGGCTAGTTTCTATTATATTCCTGAGCTTAGAATTTATGTAGCTGCCATCTATAATTTATTTATATTATGAATTCTAACATTAAAATTTGGAGGGGAAAAAAAACAAAAAAAGGAAGACATAAGCAAAGATCTCCTAGTTTTCAAAAACTTTCCATGTGTTAAATGTAAAACAATTGGAAAAAACATCAGTTTATCTCCTCACATGTCTAATATTTGAGGAGCGATATTCCCATTCCTTAGTAAATCATGGCCACGGAATCTGCTTAGGTTTACAAGTTTCTTTTTATCCCTTTTTTCTTTCTTAACTAGTTAGATTCTGGAAAGGCTGCTCCCTCACCCCCTTCCCATCACCGTCCATAATTTCTGAGGTTTCAAGTTACCTATGGTCAACTTCCATATGAAATTACTACATACAATAGGTGTTTTGAGAAAGAAACATCACATTTATATAAGTTATCACAGCATATTGTTATAGTTGTTCTATTTTATTTTCATTATTACTAATCTCTTAGTGCCTAATTTATAAACTATCATAGATATGTGTGTATAGAAAGAAACAAAGTATAGCATTTGGTATACTTTATCTATGATACATATATCTATGATAGTTTGTAAATTAAGCATTAAGAGATTATATCCTCAGTTTCAGGCATTCCTTGGGGGTCTTGGATCTTATCTTCTTTAGAAATATAAAATAATATTTTGTTGGCAATTTTTAAAAAGTAACATTCTCATTTGGTGACATACTATGGGTGATTGAAAACAATGGGAATTTGTGGAGTTCTTTTGCCCTTGTCAAATAATAGTCAAAAATCTCAATGGACTTGGGGTTTTTAAAGTAATTTTCTTAGTATGATGCTGGCATACTTGTTTCAAATTGTGCATAGACTCACTTAGGTATTCAAATTCTGGTCAATGTAGTTTGCTTCAAATAATCACCTGTATTATGAAATTTGATAAATTTGCTTACATTTGAGTCTTTATGAAAACTGGTCACGTTACCAGTTTCTGCTTTCTCCCTACAGTTGCTAGAGTTATAAATAAATGTAGGTAATTTGTTTTCACTTCAAGATTACAATTTCAGAAAGTTTATTTAAGGATCTATAGTTCTCAAAATATTTAATATATATATACATCTTATAAAGTAGTATAGCTCTTTTAATAGGATTTTTATTTATTGTCTATTGACCTTTTTTTTTTCAGGGTTCATTGAAAAATCCTTAGTGATATTGACATGTTTCAAGTGACATAAATTAGCCAATGACTCGGAATGATGGATTCCCCGAAGATTGGAAATGGTTTGCCAGTGATTGGACCAGGGACTGATATAGGGGTATCTTCACTCCACATGGTGGGGTATTTGGGAAAAGTTAGTGAACTTATTTTTTGCCTCAGTGCAAAGTTGGGGGTTTTTTCCTCCTATTTTGAGACTTGAATTTGATTTTAATTTTACCAACTAACTTTTAAAAAAGTGTATCTTCCACGGAAATCTTATAGTAATGGCGAAAGATTGTTTTAATGTGTTTACCTCTGTTTAATTGATATGTGAATGTAGAAATAAAACATGAACCTTATAATTTACTATTCTTTGAAAATTTGGAGCGTACTTTTCCCCTGGCTGTTGACATTCCTTTTTCCTTTGCAAATAAAACTGATGCTATTCTTAACAGTTAAAATTTTAAGTTTTAAACTTTATATTATTTTTGGAATAAGAACTATATTTAAAACATATGCATTTCTTTATTTGCCATGTTTAAACTATATTTAAAACATATGCATTTCTTTTATTTGCCATATCTTGCCAGGACACTCCTAGATGAAAATTGTAATTTTTATCTGGTTGCTTTCCACTTAACTTTTTGTAATTTGATACAACCTAGTAATGTCTGTATTTTAATTTGCTTTCTTTCTCTTTTAGAATTCTGATTCAGCTAAAGTTCCATCAGATGGGTATTGCCCTGCTTGTAGAGAGAAGGGAAAGTTAAAAGCCTTAAAGACTTATCGAATTAGTTTTCAAGAATCCATCTTTTTGTGTGAGGATTTGCAGGTAAATAATTTTTCTTAATAGTGTCAAGGTTTTAGTTTTCTTTTTTTCACTGTTTAAATCTGCACTCATTTTGTACTTTTTAGGCTGTGCATTTTTAATATGTAATCAGAGTTTCTAGGCCTATCTGGTATACAATTTAAAATATTTTGTTATTTTTCTACCTGGTCTCCTGAGTTAGTGCATGGAGATGTTTATTTTTATTAGCATTATACTTATGAGAGGAGAAAATGCATTTCAAGATTTTTTTTTTAACCCCGTGGAGGTCCTTGTTGCCTGTTGGTATATAGTAGGTATTCAGATCTCTTTGGTTTATTAACTTTGAGACTTACTAGATAAGTTATTTTCTAAATATTGCATGCTTAAGGTTCTAATTATCTTTTAGAATTAATTAGTATTTGTTCCCACTGGTACAACTTTTATATGGGAGCTCATTAAACCACATAATCTAGATTTTTATTTTACTTGACAATGAGACTATCTCATATATATATGTATATATGCAAGATAGGCCTTCCCATTTTACAAATAAGAAAACAGATGTAGAGGTGTTAGGAATATAAGATCTTTGTAAAGTGGCAGATCTGTAATTAGAATATAGTCTTCTGGGCCTCCCCTGGTGGCACAGTGGTTGAGCGCTGGGCTGTGATGGCGCGACAGACCTCTCCTGCTGCGCCTGCTGCTCCCCTCAGCAGTGTACTTCAGTCCTTCTACGTGTTCTGCACCCCGCTCTGGCTCTGGTGAATTCTCTCACCCTCCCACGCTTCTGACTGTACCCAGTGCTTGTGTAAATAAATAAATAAATCTTTAGAAGATAGTCTTCTAACTTCAGTCACATTTTGTTTTAGGTAAACTGGCAGAATCACTAAGAATGCTTTATAAAAATGTGTGGGCATCACCCCCAGATTTTGATTCAGTGGAGTTGACCTAGCAATCTATAGTTTTATGACTTTTGAGTCACAAATTTGGAAAACATTAGACCAAACCACGCTGTTGGTGAGAAATACTTAATGCTGGCCATAACCTGAAGGAAATCTGAGACATTCTTACAAATAGAAATAAATTTCTTTTTGTATGTATTCTGTAAATTTTCTTTGAATGTCACTTGTTAGAACTTCAGGTGCTGGGATACCATGAATAAAACAATTTTTCCCTTCAAGAAGGTTATGTTGGAATAGGAAAGAAAACAGTATATTTTCTTGTGTGTGAGGTGATAAAGAATGCTATGGAGAAAAATAATACTACAGGTACTAAAGTGTCAGGGAATGGGAAGTTCACAATTTTAATTAGAATGCTGAAGGAAATCTTTGTTGAGAAGGTGACATTTGAGCAAAGATTTGAAAGGGATGAAGAAAAAGAAGCCATGAGGACATTTGAGGATCGAATATCCTAGTCAGGGAGAATAGCAGGTACAAGACCCTGGAGTCCGGCCAGACCCTGGAGTCTGGCTATTAATTTTGTTGCTACTGCAAGGAAGCCAGCAGAAATGGGTCTGAATAAGCGAGGTAGCATGATATGATGGGTCAGAAAATAATGGGGAGAGGGATGTACCAAATAGCGTCTTATAGGCTATTTTAAGATCTCCTGGCTTTTTCTCTGACTAAAATGAGGAACGGTAGTAGGGGCATCTAGTTGAAAAGCTGTTGAAATATTCCAGGGAAGCAAGCAAGCAAGTAGGGACTGAGGTGATGAGGCATTGTGTGTGTCTTAACAAATTTTTTAAATTTTAAAAACTTAGTGCCTCTGTCCATTCACAAACATTTGGATTGCTGCTGCTTCTTCGCTAATGTGAATCATGCTGCAGTGAACATGGGTCCAGCTTTAAAAAATTTTTGGATATGTGCCTTTCAGTCACTAAATACATAATTACTGCTGTTGATTTTAAAGTGTTCTTGGTTTTCTGACATATGGTAGGATTTGGGAAATAATCTCAAGGTGTACAAAGCTGAGAAGCAAGTTGTTAATTGATGACTGCACAACTAGTTGGTAACAGAATTTCTTAAGTGCAGAATATAGTATTCATTTGTAAAGAAGAAACTATTTTAAATGTGTTTCATTTATTACTGTGAAACAAATTACCTTAAGACTTTGTGACTTAAAATACTTCATGGCTTATTACTCTGTGGATTGACCAGGGCAATTCTTATACTTCACATGCTGTTGGCTGAGACAACTGAAATGTCTGCATGCCTGGCAGTTGGTACTCACTGAGAGCTCAGCTTGGGTATTCATCCAGGATCTCAGCTCTTTTCCATGAGTGTCTCTCGATAAGGCTAACTGGACTGTATGATGGCTGGGACTAAGGAGAGTTCTAGAGGACTCCATTAGGACAAGTCCAGGAATTACAGACTTCCACATTCTTCGAGCTTGCTGATGTCCTATAAGAGCCATTCACATGGCCACGCCCAGACTTGTGATGGTGGGGAAAGCTGACCATTGCAACACATGGATACCAAGTGTAATTCTTTGGTTCACTGGAGGCCACATACAGCAGTCTATTATACTTGTGTAGAGAAGGCATATTTTAAATGAGGGTACATAGTATATAAATCCCTTATAAAATATTTTGCTAGTTTTCAGACTTAAGAAAAATTCACTGATTATTTTAGTGATTTGTTTACACTTTTGATGTTTGGCTGAAATTGTATTAATGCACAGAGAGATTTGATGAAGTCTTTAAAATTCAATCGATCTGGGCCTCCCCTGGTGGTGCAGCGGTTGAGCCCTGGGCTTCTAAGCTGCCCGCAGCCTCTGCAGCGCCTGTTCGATCCCCGGCCACTGGGCGAGGGTCCCACATGGCATGCAGACCTCTCCTGCTGTGCCCGCTGCTCCCCTCAGCAGTGTATTTCGTCAGTCTGCCTGTTCTGTTTCCCGCTCTGGCTCTGGTGAATCCTCTCACCCTACTGCGCTTCTCTCTTAAAAAAATAGTTAAAATTCAACCGATCTGACTCTTAGACCTCGTTAGGATTTAAAGTTGATATGCTGATAAGCTCTCAGGTAAATATTCAGTTTCAAGATTAGAAACACAGAAATTGCAACTTTTTAGATTTGGAAATGCTGTTCTAATTTTTTATGTTATAGAGTGTATAAGTCCCCAAAAGACTAACAGATTCGTCATAGAATGTTTTTTAAATTATTGAAATTCTTAAATTCATTTTATTAAAACAAAAATAGGTAATTTTTCCTTCTTAGCTTACTCCAGGTAGTGAAGATTAAGTCCTTGATTATTTATATTTACTAGGGAAAACTTTTCTTTTGGGGATCAAATTTTTTTAAATAGTTATCCCTAAGTTCCTTCAGATTTAAATTGATGGTAATTAATGTTAGATTGATATCAAATTAATGTTAAAATGTTATACCCTTTCATGTCAAATTAATGCTAAAATTTTATGTGTGTTTTTCATGACATAGAAGTAAACTTTGATCTTATTTGAATTTTTGTGGATTGTTTTCTTTTTTAATCATTTTGTTTTTTCTTTCTAGTGCATCTATCCTTTGTGTTCTAAGTCTCTTAATTTAATTTCTCCTGATTTGGAAGATTGTCACATTCCAAATAAACCTCAAAAAAGAAAGCTCTTGGAAACCAACTATAAAGATTCACCTCTTTTGGCAAATTCCAAAAAGACTAAAAATCATACTGATATTGATGGTGAGCAAGTCTTGAATAGCAAACAATATGAAGAAGTATATGATAAAACCTCATCATATTTACCTGACTTACTACACAGTGATCAGCAGAAATCTATTGGGACAGCTGATTTCATGGGACAGAATGAGACTTTGGAAGATGATACTCTTGACACAGCTGCTGAAGAAACCCCTACTATCGTTAATGTCTCTAGAACTGGAGGGACTTCGCCTCAAAATGAGGGATGCATGTCTGAACGAGAAATGCCACAGGAAAGCACATCATCTTGCCAGACTTTATATCCCCAATGGAAAAATGCTTATGCTCTCTGTTGGTTAGACTGTATCTTGTCCGTATTGGTGCACTTAGAAGGATTAAAAAGCACTGTGACTGATCTGTGTACTGAAGAGGAGTCTGTGTTCTGGCAGTTATTTACAAAGTATAATGAAGCCAATAAACTTCTGCACACTAATCATTTGGATGGAAGTAAAGGTTGGTAAAATTTTATTTCTTTATATATTTTAAAGGAGAATAATGTTGAATTTTGTCTCCCAGCATGAAAAAGATGTCATCAGTAGCTTTTGTTTTATGTAGAAACCTGGCAGCAATGACCACAGGGATATTGTCACGACTCCTGAGGTAACACCACTTGTATTACCATGACTGAACAAAGGCAATCTTTAAAAAACCCAGAGCAAAGAATACAGATGCTGTTGGCAGGCATTGGTGGTCATCATAGTGTCCATCAAAGTAAAATTTTAAGTTTTAAATTATTGTAAAGCAGAATAAAGAAGTAAATACAATTTTATCATAATCCTACACTCCCCCTCAAAAATATTTCTTTTCACAATGAAGAGTATATTTTTTGTTTTATTTTCTATAAAATAGGATACCCCTGGGCCCACTTCCAACCCAGGAAAAATTAAAATATTCTCTACTTTTATTTCTGTGTTTCTCCCCATCCCATCTTCCACCTTCCTGCAAAAGCAGTCTTTATCCTGAAATGTTTTACCATTCATTCTTACCTGTATATCCCTAATTTAGTTTGTTTTGAAGTTGTTAAGGAAATTGTACAGAATGTCTTCTGGGTCCTTTATTTTTTTTTTTCATAAAGATTTATCTGGGAAACTCCTTAACTCCTTGTATTTGTGATTTTTTGATTTTCATTGCTAAATATTTCCATTTTGTAAATACTCGTATTCATTCACCTGTCTTTTTTTTTTTTTTTTTTGCATTATACTGCTGTTATGACTGTTCTTAGTCAGATTTCCTGGATTTAAGAGTTTCCCTAGAATGTGCCATAGGAATAGGATTGCCAAATCTGTGCTCAGATTCACAAGATAATGGCAAATTGTTTTCCAAAGTGGTCATACTAGTCAATAGTCCCAAACAATGTATGACAGATCTTCCTGATCCATATATTCTCCCTTCAGTATTTTCACTGTTGGATATTTTAGCTATTTAAATGATGTAAAATGATTGGTCATGATTAGGTTTCCCAGATTAAGAACTTTTCATGTGTAGATTAACCACATGTTCCCTCCTCTGTGAAGTGCTTGTGTCGTATCCCTATTTATTCTGTTGATTATCATTTTCTTAACTTGTATGAGTTTTTTTGTCTTCATTGCTACTTTTACATCATATGTGTGTCACTAAGTCTCCCAATTTGTATCTTATGTTTTTATCTTTTAAACATAACTTTTGATGTATACAAATTACCCTTTTTGTAGCTGTTAACAGAAATCTTTTCTTTCCCCAAGATCAGAAACTCATTTGCTGCTATTGTCACTGAAGAGTTAGCAAGGTTTGCTTTTGGCATCTAAATTCTTAATTCAGCTGGAGTTAATTTTATATGTATGGTGTGAGATAAGGATGCATTTTTTCCACCCTTTGCATGACCGCTTTTTCTAGCTCCTTTTTTTTTTTCTTAGTTGATCTGCCATCCCACCTTTTTTATACAATATTCTGTATGTGTGTGCACTTCTTCACGTTTGCTCTCATGGTTGCTTTATCCCTGCATCAGTACCACACTATTTTAATCATCAGAGCTTTTGGGGTCTTACTACTGGGTGGTATAAGAATTCTTACTTTATTCAATTTGACTGTGGTCATGTTGTTTTCCATGTGAGGACCATTTTTCTATTTCTGTATCAGTACCACAATATTTTAATTAATAGGGCTTCTTAGGTCTTGCTGTTTCTTACAAAACAAAATCCTTTCCTTATATTAACATGATTTTGATTGTGCTATCTTTTACATATATTCTGTATGCTTTTTCCCCCATTGTTGAGTGTTTAGGCTGCTTGCCATTTTTTGCTATTATGAATAGACAAACACCATGACAGAATAGCCATATATATTTTGAATCCACTGCTGATGATAACCTAGAGGGAACAGCTTTCTTGAAAGTTGGTACAAACATATAATTCCATTTTTTTTGTAGAAGAAAGTATTCCAGAGCATTCTTAATTTTACACGTGTAAACATGTTAAAGTTATGGTTTTATTAGATATTTTGCTTCTGTTTAATTTTTTTTTTGAGATTTGAATTTTTAAAAAATTGAATTACATTTTTTTTATTTTATTTTTTTAAAGATTTATTTATTTATTTATTTATACAAGCACTGGGTACAGCCAGAAGTGTGGGAGGGTGAGAGAATCCACCAGAGCCAGAGGGGGAACAGAACAGGCAGACTGACGAAATACACTGCTGAGGAGAGCAGTGGGTGCAGCAGAAGAGGTCTGCGCACCATGTAGGACCCTCACCCAGGGCCGGGGATCGAACCTGTGCTGCAGAGGCTGCAGGCAGCTTCGCAGCCCAGCGCTCAACTGCTGCACCACAGGGAAGGCCTCAAATTACAAATTTTTTAAATTCAGCTTCTTACCAGCATTTTTGTGTACGTCACAGTTGTACAATTGATTATTGCAGAACATACCTCTCATTCAAATTTTGACTTGAATAGTGGACTTAGTTTTGATTTTTTATTTTTTCTTATTTATTTATAGAATAATTGTGGTTTTTTGAGTCTTACAATTGCTGCATTACTTTGAAGTTTCAGTTTTGTCTCTTTTTGGCCTGGTTAAATAGAAATTCTGATTGGTGCTTACTTCATATTTTAGGAAAATTCAAATTTTTCATAGTGAAGCATATAATAAACTGAGTGTGATCAGGCTGTATTAATGGTTTATTTGTAAAAGAATTGAGCGTAAGAATAACTAGAGTAATATGCATCTGGAAGTTTCTATGCAAAATATTTCTTGTAGTAACTGTGGATAGTTTTTTGGCACTGTAATTCCACCTTGAGGACTTTCAATTAAAAGAAATGATCAGAAACATAGATATGGACCCTAAGATGTTTCTAATAATATTTATAGTCTTGAAATATTCTGAAATATGCTGAAATATTCAGCAAGAGGGGGTAGTAGGTAGGTAGAACTATGATTCATTTGGAAGGTGATAGCTAACGGAGTCATGCAGATTTGTTTTTATGAAACAAATTTTGGTGAAACAAAGCAGAATATGGATTTGTGTTAGTTCATGATGTTATTGAAGACCCTTCCTCATCTCTCTAAAGATATGGAGGAAAACATATTGAGAGTTTGGGAAATAACTGTGAAGTTTAAGACTTCTTATAAATTTATTTCTTCCTGTGATCTAGTTCCTGTGGTCTATATAGCTATGTTCAATAAAAGTTATACAAAGAAGTGGGCCTCCCCGGTGGCACAGCAGTTGAGCGCTGGGTTGTGAAGCTGCCCGCAGCTTCTGCAGTGCCGGTTCGATCCCTGGCCACCAGGTGAGGGTCCCACATGGTGCGCAGACCTCTCCTGCCACCCACTGCTCCCCTCAGCGGTGTACTTCATCAGTCTGCCTGTTCTGCTCCCTGCTCTGTCTCTGGTGAATTCTCTCACCCTCCCGTGCTTCTGACTGTACCCAGTGCTTATATAAATAATAAATAAATCTTAAAAAAAAAAAAGTTACACAAAGAGGAATAAATGGTTAGATGGATGGTTGTCTCAGGCACAATCTTGAGCATAGATGTTCAAAGAGTTTCAGCTGTTTCAGCAATAGGCAAAATATCTGTAAGTTTAGCTCTTTTACTAGGCCTATGGTTGTTTGAATGAGAAAGGTTCTCAATGAGATTTTGCCAGGCAGTAAGCAATATTGTGCTTTTAGCCAGCATTTAGGGGAATATATGGTATACTGCAGAGAAGAGAAAGAATTAAGGAAATTTTGTGTTCTCCATTTTGACTCTGCACAGTTTATTGGCTCAGATAACTCATTTTGGTGATGACTGATAATTTTCTGTATTTTATTTTTAGATGGAGATTGTAAAAATCTTACTAAAGATTTAATTGCAAAGATAGAGACCTCTCTGAATGAAGTAAGAAGTGAAGTTTTTATTAGGCTTCAGCCTCATCTTCGATGCACATTAGGTAAGTAATTTGTGTAATTTATTACTCATCTAAAGAAATACTTACATTATAAGGAATTACAATATTGTTTTATCACTTCAGATGATCAGATTTTAGGGGAGACAATCTGAGTGGTTTCGTTTAGGAACTTAATAGTGGTTAAATGACTGGTGGACAGAGCTTTTCCATATAAATAATGTGGGCATGTGCTTCACCCCTTGAGAGGGAATACAGTCTTAGAACGAGGTGACTATCTAAGGGGTATATCACTGGCTGCTTTTCTCATATTTTTCCCAGTAGACTTAATTATCCCGAATTTTCATCCTTGGTTGTGTATTCAAAAGCCCCTGTGAAATTTAAAAGTAAGGGGACCCATTAAATAGTAATAATCTCAAAGATAGAGCTCAGGTATCAGTAATTTTCAGAAACCCCATGTGATTCTTATGTATGTACAAAATCTCTGGTCTAAAACAACCTTGGTAATTCTGCTTCTACCACTGATGGGTTTACGTATGGAATAGTTTTCGCCAGTGGCATTGGAGGAGAAATATAGTGAAGCTCTTTGGGGAAAGCTCTCATCATTAAAAGTGACACAGGAATGAGATTTCCTTTGCCTTCTGCGTTGGCTTTTGGACTCTGGAAGAAGAGTGGAGCAACAGGGGTGCTAGAGTCACCCAGTCTTTCTAAATTTTGCTAGTACTCTAAAAAGGGGACAGTAGTTATTTTTTTTTCTCTCAAGGGCTATGTTTTTGTCTATTTTCCTTTATCCTTATATTAACTTTCTATATAATAATACCGTTATTATATAGTGGGGCTCTCACATTGCATTTCACAGTTATCATTTCCCTTCTCAAGTGATCTGAGATTTTTTTCAGGGTCCCTATTTTAGTTCCTAGTGAATTAAAGAGTGGTTTCTTCTGCAGTCTGAACCACCACCTATCTTATCCCTGATAATTATATTTGGAACAAGATTGTACCTTTTCTGTGTAACAGAGAAGAGATTTTTAAAAATTATTTTGGGTAAGCACAAAGCTTTTCTAATACAATAAAATCCCTTTTGCTTGTGTTGATACTACTCAGCAGTGATAGGTGCTGTTTTAGAGCTTAAGGACTTACTAGTGAAATCTTACCTATGCTTCAGAGAACGCTTTAAAATCTTGTAATATATGTGTCATCATTCTGAAAATTAACATGTATTTTAAAGTACTAAGGAAAGAGAAGTAGAATCTGTACTGACCCTGAATATTGGTTAAATTTTTAACATTAACTTCTTCATCATTTTGATTATTGTTATTTAAAAGCACATTTAAACTATCCATTATTCACCCCCTCCCAGGAAGTTTCAGATATATAACATTACAAATACAACTGAAATCCCCATTTATACTCATTCCCAAATTCTTCCTTACCTCACCAGAAAGGTAACTACTGATGTCAATTTGGTGTTTTATTTCTCTTCTTTGTCTTTTTTTTTAAAAGGGGAAGAAAAACTAATATTCTTACGATTTCTACTTATTTAAACATGCAAGTTAGAGAGTAATTTAGTCTTTGAGTGTGGTGTACCAAGGTAAAGATAGATAGACATAGTAGAACAAAATAGAATCTAGATCAGAACCCTCCACCTTAGGTTACTCCACACCATGATCGAGGTGGTAGGTGATGCAGATAAGTGGCGAAAGAGAAGGCTGTTCTGTGAAGGGTGCAAGGATAGTTGGCTTCTGATATGGGGGGGAAATTAGATCCCTGTCTAACACCATAATTAGAAAGAAGCTTCAGTATACTCTTAGATTTAAATATGAAGAGCAAAATTCTAAGACTTTGGAAGAAAATATAGGTGAATATATTAGTCAGCGTGGGGAGGAATTTTTTAAATAAGATAGGGAAAAGAAAGATTGTTTGATGTGACTACATTAAAGCTTAAAATCTCTAGGCAAAGATAGAAGAATTAATTCCAGGATATCTTATAAAGAACTGATGTACATCATTTAAAAGACAAAACCAAAACAAGCAAACAAAAAAACCCAGCTCATACAAAAAAAAAAAAAAAAAAAAGTTCAGAGTGCATTAATGAGCAATTAACAGAAGAGAAAAATCAAACCACTAGATAAAAAGTGTCACTGAAAGGTTTGCATCTTCACAAAGTGAAGGTGTTTTAGGGGGAAATACGCAAAGTAGGTGTCTGTGTAAGGAGTTGGGGTGGGAAGTTGTGATGAAGACACTAGTGGTAAAGAAACCACTTTTAAGCAGGAAGTTATAAAAATTGAAATTGGGCATTGGTATTGCATGCTTTCTATTAGGGTGCTTAGTACTTCATACCCATAAAATCTATAATCAAAGGGAAAATAAGATCAATTTAGGAGCTACATATATTAGCTCAAAATGATTTGTAATCCTGTAAACAGTGTGTTTTGAGCTCTTTCATGATATTTTGATTCATTGAAAACTTTATTTTTAGAACTGAAGTTTCTATGTTGTCATAAAATGCAAATTACTTACTTTTTAAACTAATATCTTGTTATAATAGAGCAAGCATTTAAAGGCTGATAACTAATTACAAATTTGTGTTTTATTAAGGATCATTTACGCGTATGATGTTGCGTATGTTCATTTTTAGGAGATTGATTTGTGTTTTATTTATAAAATGTTTTGAATTTATATTTTTGTATAAAAATGGCAGTGGGACTGTATTGCAAAGGTGACTATTAACATAACCTTTTTAACTACTGATATTTATAGAATATGCTTAGGCAGTAATACCAAATGTTCTGCCTTTTGGTCCTGCCAAGGTGACTCCTCCTGGCAGTGTTCCAGGCACTCTGGGTCCAGGCCAGGCACTGGACCATGGAAATGAGTGTCTCAGAGAAGGGGGCGCTAAAAGAGCTCAGACTCTCCTCAGGCAACATCTAAGCTCCTCTGAGGATGGGAAGGAAAGAAACCAGTGGGAAAATAAATGAAAGAAGGAAGAGAATGTAAATCTTCCTCTTTAACTTCCTTGCTAATCTGAAAATTGGAAACCTGCATTCATGGTTCAGTTTTTGTTTTAATGACACCAAACAGAACAACCTTCTCTAAATTGAAGCTGAAGTTTGTTAAAATATTGAGTAGACTAGTAAATGAAGAATTGGGAGATTTGAGGCTGTTCTGTTTGTGTCCTGCTCTCTCCACATGTAGGACAAGAGTCAGAATATAAATGACATTTTAAGGGCTTTTTCCAACTCTGAAATTACTCGACAGTTCTTTGCCAGTTGTATTATTTTTAGTATCTATAGCAAACCATTTACATATTTTTCTTTACTTTTTATAATAATATAGATCTATTATAGTCCTAAGGAAACTTTTTTTCCCGAGAAAAGCTAAAATCTGAAAAGTATGAGTCTTTTGTATTGTTTGTGTTAAGAAGTTTTCATAAATGTTGCCCAAGAAAAGTGATGAGATTGAAATGATAATTAAATCTTTATCATGGACATTTTTAGAAAAATGCTTTAAAAACTTTTCGTTCAACTATGATTAGCTTACTCTGTCATATATATGTGTGTATACACACACACACACAAATTCACATATATTCATATTATGAATTTTTATTATTTTTATTATGACAACAATTTATAATTTGTGTTAGTTAACTTTCTTCGGTTAATTCTGAACAGTAATTTCCTTTTTGTTTTTTTGAAGGTGATATGGAAAGCCCTGTGTTTGCATTTCCCCTGCTCTTAAAAATAGAACCCCATATAGAAAAGCTCTTCATGTATTCTTTTTCTTGGAACTTTGAATGTTCTCAGTGTGGACACAAGTATCAAAACAGGTCAGTTTTTCTATTTTAAAAATAGATTCATTCTATTGAAAGTGATTTTGAAAAATAAAATTTGAATGAATCTTGACTCCATTTGTAGCACTGCTCTGTCCCTGGCTCCTTCTACTCTTTTTTTTTTTTTTTTTAAGATTTATTTTTATTTATATATACAACAACTGGAATATAGACCAGAGGTGTGGGGGGTGAGAGGATTCACCAGAGACAGAGTAGGGAGCAGAACAGGCTGATTGACTGAAATACACCTGCTGAGGGGAGCAGCTGGTGAGACAGGAAAGGTCTGCTGTACCATGTGGGTCAGCTCCCTGGCTGGGGATAGAACTGTGCTGCAGTGACTGCTGATAGCTTCAAAGTGCTGAGACTTAACCCCTTGTGCCACCAGGGAGACCCTGGTTCCTTCTACTCTTGATAAACTTCCCTACCATGTCTTATAGTCTCTCTGCCATTAAGGTTTAGAGGAAAAATTTGAGTGTCAGAAAATGCAATTTGCTTGCGATCTTAAACTGCCAAGTCAAAAACCCATAGTCGATTAGATGACTAGTGGAGGTTCTTAAGAAATTCTCTCATGGGAAGTGGGGACAACTGTGAAAAGTAGCACTTTTCCTCCTCTCTCCCCTCTGGGTTTCCTGCCAAGTAAGAATACCTCTCAGAATTTCTTGAAACTCTGTTTTCTTCTTTCTCTATTAGAGACTGGAATTTTTGTGCATGATTTTAATATCATGAAAGCTGGTTTTAGGCTTCTGGAGTCAGACAGGGGTAATTTATACTTCCCTATTCCTTCCCTTAGTCCCATGAAAAATCAGCCACCACCAGAATCCTCATACATGTGAACTGTCTCAGTCTTGCTTTCAACTTCTCTGTTGCCTCTAGGTGAGGGTCAGAGGGGTCATGTGGGGCCATGTTGTACACAAGCCTTGAGATTGGTTTTTGGGAGGGAAGCTTGGAGAAGAAAGAAGTTGCAGGTTTCTTTAGTTGCCACATAGTGAGAGAAATTAGGTTTTAAAAGAGGAGTCAAGGACAGAAAGTTTTCATCAAATGTGATATCCTTACTTTGTCCATATCTCAAAAAATTGTTGAATGGCAGTTAAAAAGATTACTGCAGTGCCTTTGTTGGTTATTTATTCAAGTTACTGTAATAGAAATAAATCCTTTCCTCTGTCTTAAAACTCACCAGGTAGTAAATTAAAATATGTCGTTTTTTCAAATCTATTAAATAAAAATAAGAGAAAAATGTTACTTTGATATTCATTGTCTTAAACATGAGATTATTTTTAAGTATTTATGGACCGAATAGATTCAAGTCTGAGAAGAAAGCTCTAGGGAATGCAGGCAACAGATCCAGAAACCTTTTTTTTTTACCAGTTAGTTCAAAAGTATTAGAACAGAGTAAGTGTTTCACTCATACCTAAAACTTAAGCAATTTTACTTAAGGTGAATATGAAAACACCTGTTTTCTAGTCTTCTGTTGATATCTATTCATTTGACAAACCTGGAATCAAGTTTGAAAGGGGTTAAATAGATTCCCCAGGGTGACTCAACTAGTAAGTGACAGAGTCAAGATTCAGACTTAGGTTTTTTGGCCTCTAAGACTCTTGCTTACTATGGTATATTCCCTAATCACCTCCTGGATTTTAAATAATATAAATAAGCTTGATTAAAATGAGCTTAATTATAACTTAGCTAAAAATCCATGTCTCAGTTTGTTTGACAGCTTTTCATTGACTATATTCTGTGTGACAGCAGCTCTTGGAAATAATCTTTATTCTGGCCACAGTCGGACTATTTAATAAGGAAGTTAACATATATAACACATAATACAGAGCCAGTGACTTAGTAATGAATTTGATCTGTTGGCTGTTTTAAGTTACTTTGAATACAGGGTGATAAATGTAGTTTGGAGGCATCTAGAGAAGAGCTCTCCAATGCTTGAAGGAAAGCTTTTTTAAAATTCTTTTTTCTAAAATTAAAAGTAGTAAGAGAAAAAGATAAAATGAATTGACATTTCACTGACTGCATTTTAATATAGTTTAAAACTTCTACTTAACCTGACAGAATGTGCAGCAAATTTGGTGTTTTAGTGCTTGTTGATTTTAGTGCCATTTTAAGAGCTTTTACTTGGTTTAGAAGGTATAGCTAGAGGCAGTTAAAAACAGGGTGTTTGGAGTGAGGCTTCCTGGATTCAGATCGTTTAAGTCTCTCATTTATCATCTGATAAGCACTCTGTTTTACTTTCCTCATCTGTACAGTGGGGATTAGAACAGTTGCTGCCACTTAGGAGTGTTTGAAAGTGTTTAGCACAGCACCATGCTCTGCACAGAGTAAATGGTCAAAAATGTTTGAGGTCATATGGAGTATTAACACTTACTTGCTGAGACAAATTCCTTTTTATAAATTAAAATTAAGTGTCCTTAACAATTATCTTTGAGAACCAAGAATTTAGCAGAAATACAGTCAAGAATGCATTTGTTGATACCTTTATGCTGCTTTGCTTTTGATGTTAACTTAGCTGAGAACTGGTCTTTTTTAACAGTCACTTCTTTTCTTGTGGTTTATCTGTATTTTTTATTGTTTGGAATAGAAGCTAGTGTGTTTAGGTAATTAAAGTGAATACAGTTGACTACTATTGTACATTTTTAAAGATCATCTTTTTAGATGCCTATTGCTATCAAGTATTTAGACTAAAGTGCAAATATACAATTTGTGTAACCGTAAAAGGAAAATTCTTTATTCTAATGTCCTAATTTTGTAAGGATCAAGAAAATCCTAAGTTGTATGCATTCCTGTTTATATTTTTGGAAATGCCCCTTTTTATTTTTGTCTGTCAATAATAGACAGAAGTGAATTATTTGAGTAAGGGGTAAATGCTTAATAAATTGAAAATCCTGAGAGCAGGTTCCTTGACTGGGGTCTCTTTTGTTCCCTTTGGGACATTTGGCAATATCTGGAGGTACTGGTGGTTGCAGCTGGAAACCCGAGTTGATGCTCACCGTCTTACGATGCCCAAGACAGTGCCCCATAACCAAGAACTACCCAGCACACAATGTCATTATTATTTCTCTTGGGAATCCCAAGAGAACATTTCCTCATCTCAGAGCTGAAAAGTTATAGGTAGTTAATGTAGGGAATAATCAGAGATTTATCATGATTAGGGAGGAATATTGGCAAATTACTATATGATTTGGGGAAATGGGAAAGTATGAATAAACAAATGAAAAATTGCTTTTAATTTTAGACATTGATTTAAGTTAATACAGATGAATTTTACTTACGTGAAATTGTCTTTTTTTATAGGTGTATGAAGAGCCTGGTCACCTTTACAAATGTCATCTCCGAGTGGCACCCTCTTAATGCTGCCCACTTTGGTCCATGTAATAAGTGCAACAATAAGTCACAAATAAGAAAAATGGAATTGGAAAAGTGAGTTAAAATTGCCTTACTGTTTTTAGAGCAAAATGAAAGTGGATTTACCTTTATTTTAAATATATATAGAATGGGAAGTGACAATTACAACCTCCTTTTTGGAAGTTTGAATTAATATGTGTCTGTGAATGGTGAAAATGCCTCTTTTTATTAGGAACTCTGGCCAGTAAGCAAGCTGTACCAGGCAAAATCCCAAATGAAAAAAATGAAGAGCTGACTCAGGGTGATTGATTGACCAACTCCCCTAGTGTCTCTCCTCCTTTTGCCTTTAGGGATATTAAACTTTAATTTTCCTCCTCTCTCAAGTGCCTAGGGTCACTAGAATTCTGGGATTTCCTTAATCTAATTTTAAGAAGTAAAATGATTCAAAGGTGAGCCACAGGCTTATCTCTCTGAATTTCTGTCATCTCTTACACATTGGCTTGCTAATTTTCATCTTCTTGTTAGCTTTCTGCTGCCCTTGAACAGATGTGTTTTTATTGTTGTTTTTACCAGCTTTTCTATTTGTTCTCAATGGGAGGGCTGGTTAGAATTACCTTTCCTGGTATTAGCAGCCCCTTATCTTTTAACTCACAGGTCATTTCTGCTTTAGACAGTTTGTCTCTCTTTTGTTAATATACTCACATGCATATATCCTTTTTAACATTCATTTTCAGTCCCTCTTATTTCTATATTTAGGAAATATTTTGATTTATAATTTGGTATACTAGAGAAGCAGTGACATTAACCTTTATGTTGCCTTTGGCTGTACCAAGAGACCCCTCAGAATCTTTTCTAAAGGTTTTCATCCAAGGAATAAGTTCTTATTTTGGTAGTCTCCCTTTATCTCAGGTTTTTCTTTCTTAGTTTTAGTTGCCCTAAGTCAACCACTGTTAGGAAATATTACTATGTACAATGAGATTTTGAGAGAAAGACTATTTTCACATAACTTTCATTACAGGACAGTGTTGTAATTTTGTTAGTTGTTACTGTTAGTCTTTTAGTGTGTCTGTAAATTATACTTTATCATAGGTACATATGTGTTAGGAAAACAGAGTATCTAGAGTTTGGTACTATGCATGGTTTCAGACATCCACTGGGGGTCTTGGAATGTATCTTCTGTGGATAAGCAGGAACTACTATAATCTAATAGTGCCAAAGGATTTAAAAGTAAAGAAGAACAGTCAGTGCTCTGACTACCCGACCTTCAGACAATTGCTTTAAACCTTTACAGTATATTTACTTTATTTCAAAAGATTGTGCTTGTTCTATCATTATACAGTGTTCGCCTTTTCTAGTAATTGAGGATTGGGGCCCTTACACCAATACCTGAACCCCCTCACTATTGAACTTTTCCCTGTCCTTCCAATTTGATTACATTCTTCTGTACTCATTGTTTAGATTATTGTAAATACACATATATTCCCCTTTCCAGCCAAATAGTATGCAGGTTATGTATTATTCTATAATTTTACTTTTCCTAATAAATCATGCATACTTTGCTTAATGATCCCAGTTTTTAGCTTAGGATCCTACCTCCATTCTTCAATATCTCTTGCCTAGAAATATTGAGTATTAGGTGTTCAGTGGGACATACACGCTGTAATCAGCATGCCGTAACACTGATGTCTGTCTCTGTAACACTAATGTCATCACTTCATTCTGCAAAATTATTGCTTATTTCGCTTTTTGTCTTCTAAATATTTGTTATTTCATCTTTCCTTTTCTTTGTCCTTTTGGATTACTAACTTTTTTCTCCTTCACTGTCATTTGATTGCATTTGAATGGGAAGGCAGAGTGGGGAAGAAGAGAAAATATCATTAACCAGAAGTTCACAGTCAGTCTTGGCTGATTAGTATGCATGCATTGAGATCTAAGCATTGATGGGACTTCTTTTCATTTTTTAAAAACTTTTTCTTGAAGGTGAGAAGAGCAGCAAGGTGTGAGGTGTCTATCATTTTACAGTTGTCTTGGTATATATAATTTTACTTGTAGTATATACTTTGTTTTTCTCAGCCCCCAGCATTGAAGATAAACTCACACTATTTTGTCTGTTAATTGGTTGTATTATAACGTGTAATTTTTAATTATATAGATACACTGCTTGGAACATCAAAGATACATAGATACATTGCTCTGATCTGGCAATACCCATTAGGTTAAAAAAAACCTTCAGTAAGAAATGTATTGAGTTTTAGTAGGCCAGTTTTAGTAGGCCAATTTGTACACTTACTGTATTCAAAGTAGATTGAACTAGTATGTAAAATTTGACTTAAATATTTAATGACAAGGTCTTTGTAAAATCCTTTGTATATTTTTCTTTGAAATGTATAATTTGATTTGTTGGCACCTAATGGAATTTAGACACTTTGTTGTCTATAGTTTTTAAGGATAGCTTAAAAGTAGGTCCATCAGGATATCATGAATAATTCAATTGCATGGCATTCTTAAAAACTAATAGTGTTGTAAATTCCCCAAACATCTCACCTCAAGTAATTCACATTTCTGATATGCCCCATGAGAAAAAGAGTCCATTGATAAATCAGATGAATGATAACTTCGTGGTTCCAATATGCTTCTTTTTGTTAAGTTGTTAAGGAATTATATTCAGAGAATGGTGATACGGAGAACCAAGAAGTTAGAACCTGATTTAATTTTACTTCATAAACACTTGAAATAAAGCTTTTATTACTGCCAAGATCTCCTTTAGGAGTCCAGTCATCTACTATGTTAGATTGTCATTTGAATAAGTTATTTATTTAAACTTTAATTTTAGCAGTAATTTTCCTTTTTACACAACTATGTGTAAAGGATAGTGAAGTGGTAGGAAGAAAAATAAGACAGTTTTGCTTTGTGCTTATAAAGCTTATTGATTGATTGTGTCTCATATAATTTTGAGGCTCTTCTTTAAGTAGGTAAACACCTTTTCCTATGAAATTTTGCATGGAATACCATTATATAAAGTAGTTAAAATTATGTTTCTTAATTTAAATGATCTTTGTTGGCAGAAAATCCTTTAACATTTATTAAGTCTTTGAACTCTCTCTGAAGAATGTAGTTTATAAACCCTAACAGTTGAATTTTTCTAAAGATGTACTTTCTTTTTACAATTGATATGAACCAGTTCTAATTATTTGAATTACACCTGATTCTATTCCTATTTTTCATTTATTGTCATAGTCTGAAATAGTTCAAATATGATGTAATATGTTTAAAGTGTATTGAGATTGGGCCTCTCTGGTGGTGCAGGGGTTAAACCTCAGCAGTACCAAGCTTATTGCCAGCCACTGCAGCATGAGATTGATATCCGGCCAGGGAGCTACCCACATGGCACAGCAGACCTCTCCTATCTTGCCTGCTGCTCCCCTCAGCAGTGTATTTCCCTAGATCTGGCTGTTCTCCCCACTCTGTATCTGATGAATCCTCTCACCCCCCACACCTCAGGCCTGCACCCCAGTTCTTGTATGCATAAATCAATAAAATAAATCTTAAAAAAATAAAAAAAGTGTATTGAGATTTAAAAATTACATTTGCAGATTATTTTCTCCCTAAAACCTATATTAATACACTTTCAGAAATACATATATGCACATGGTTACATTTTCACTTTTGAAAATATTAATTACTGCATTATTTGAGATAACAATAAAAAAACTTAAGGCCATTAGCACAAGACTGTGCTGCTCTTCATGGGATAGAAGTGAGAGTGTTTGCCTGCTATATTTTGGGTAGCAGAGGTTAGCACAGTTCCCTTGTGCTTGCTTTCTCTTTCCTGTTTTATTTTATCTTTCCTAAGGGTAGATCCTTACAATAGTAGTTCAGTCCTATGTTAAGGTGATAAATGCAAATTGATTTTAGCTTGAATCTGTTGTGACTTTTGGTTCCAGTTCTGTTAACTTACATACCATCCAGTTTTCTTATGGTTGAGGCAAGTCTGTCTTCCTTTCCTCAGCTCAGAGCATCATCTTCGAATAACACTTCAAGTAACATTACAGGGCAGGAAGAAGCCCGAGAACAAAATCTATTGCTAAAGTAGGAATAAAGTTCTATCCTCACCTGAAAGGTTGGAAATGAGACAAGCTGAAATTAGGGGTAGGAGAATACTGTGACTACTGGGGACACTGGAGTCTCAGGGACCCTAAAAGACATGCTCCCTATTTAATAGTCCATGTGTAAATTCGCACAAAGAAGGCAGGAACACTAGTGAGAGTGCATAGTATAGGGATCAATAAGAAGATGTTTTAATAACTAGCTTCAGAAGATAATATTGAAAAGGTATTGTATGATGTCATGAGAATTATTAAAGAGCACTAATTCCAAAAGCCTGTATATACAGTGATTCAAAGATTCTTTTTTTTTTTTTTTTAATAGAGGCATGTTTTATTTATTTATTTGTTTGTTTGCAGCCCAGCGCTCAACCGCTGCACCACCTGGGAGGACCCAAAGATTCTTTCTTAATATTTAACGTACAGTAATCTTCACTTAAGTCATTGCTATGTTCTTAGAAACTGACTTTAAGTGAAGTAACATACAATGAAACCAGTTTTACCATAGGCTGACTGATACAAACAAGAGTTGATTTCCTGTGACATATTTCTGGTCACAAAAACATCACCAAACTTCTTAATAAAGACCCAGAATGCCTCTAATATGAAATATTAATTTGTATTCATACATTTATTCATTCATTTTTCTACCCACTCATTCCAGTTCAGGGTCTCAGGTAGCCAAAGCCTGCCTGGCAGCTCTGGGCACAAGGTGGGTCCTATCCCTGGACAGAATGTCCTTCCATTGCAGGGTATACCCACACCCACACCCCCTCAGACTGGGGACAATTTAGACATGCCAGTGAACTTAACGTGCACATCCTTGGGGCTTGAAAGGAAACCAGAGTATCCAGAGAAGACCCACAAAGACTTAAGGAAAAATGTGCAGACTTCAAAATGCTGCATGGACAGTGCCCCTGGCTGGGAATTGATTATCATTTTTTTCCTAATCAATGTTATAGAACAGTGTTATTCAAGGACCTTCTATATGGGAAACAGGAATACATTTGAAAATTGATGGCATGATATAGGTTAATTGGTGATATTCTTTCATAGTATACCTTTTACAATCAATGACAAATCAGGGAAATAGGTATGATTTTTATAAAGTAAGAGTTTAGCATTATGGACAGTTTGTAGGAATTTTTATTTATAGGAACTTAAATTTTGAAGACTTCTCTAGCAGAATGATGAAGAAGGGATACTTTAAAAGTTAAAGAACCCAGTCTAAAGAATCTGCATTTTGAACATTGATTCAAGTTTATTTTAACTGAATAAATTTTGATAGGCTACGTTAAGTTTTGCCACTGTTTAAATATTGGAGAAAGAGATAATCAATAGTTTTCTTAAATCCTGAAAGCTGTTAATTTTTAGTTATTAAAAGCGGGTTTGTTACTGTAATGATAAAATGTATCTTTGAAATTAAGGATATCTTGGCCAATCAGTATGTTATATTTTCATCTCAATTTAAGACTTCCCTAAGCAGAAACTTTAGCTCCTCACTACTTCTTGAGATAACTGAGAGAAATAGGCCAAATTAATAGAATTTGTGTTTTAAAAAAAAAAATTTTGTGTGTATTTCTTAACTTTGTTACTTTGTTTTACATTATTACCTACCCTACCTAACAAAAGCAGTCAATTTGGGCACTTGACACCAAAGAAAATTCTAGAAGGTCTGGATTTCTTCCTTTGATTCTGCAAAATAGTCACCAAGAAATCTTCTTTAAGCCAAAGCAGCATTGCAGCTTACAGAACAATTTTTGTTTAATGATCTGTGTCAGAGCCTTATTGCATGATAGCTTCCAACTGTCGATGATACCCTTTTGCTAAGGGTTTACTGTTACATACTTCTTAGTATTTCTAATTAATGTGCACATCTGGAGGTTCTCAGAAAAGTTAGTGCAGTTAGCCATCAAAGTATTATGTGTGACTTACTTGCTTCAGACCATCTTTTGTATAACCAGACACATGATATTAAATTTGTTTGACTTCTTGCCTTTCTCTCCCCACAGAGTATCTTCCATATTCATGTTGCACTTTGTAGAAGGCTTACCTCATAATGACTTGCGGTGCTATTCATTTTGTTTTGAAGACTGCCATTATCAGATAACTTCTGTAATTCAGTATCAAACAAATAATCATTTTATAACATGGATTTTAGATGCTGGTGGTAAGTGTTTAAATGTTTTTCTTTTATGATAATAAGTATAGAGACTAAAAGTTTAGTTTTTTTTCTCTTTTGGAAGATTAACTTAACCCTAACAAGGGGTTACTATGACAGTCTCTGTTTTCTGTTGTTTACATTTTTTTTTTAAATTTGGTATTTTCCTCTTGGAGGTGATTTGAAAGGATACACAATGTGTCATAAAAGCCCTTTACAAACTGAAACTCATGTTATTTGAGTTTAAATGTAATTATTACCTTTAAGTGTTAACCTGCCTCAGAATTTTTTGGGAAATTGTTCTCAGTAACATAAAAACTAAAAGACCAACTTGTTTTAGTTTTCTGTTGCATCCCATAAAATGAAAAGTCGTCTTCAGGTAGAGCATGGTTTCTAACCCTGACAGCGTATAAAAATCATAGGTTAGCATATAAAAATTTCCTGGTTCTACCCAGACCAATGCATCAGTTTCTGGGGTTTAAGATTTCAATCGGATGCATGAACCACTGACATAGGCAAACAAAAACATCTCAAAAGTTTTAATGGGTATAGAAAGTAGTGGGTTCAGGTAGTCTTTATAAAGGTATACCCAGGGACCTCCCTGGTGACACAAGGGGTTAAGACTCAACCTATGAAGCTCTCTGCAGCCACTGCAGCACAAGTTCCATCCCCGGCCAGGGAGCTGACCCACATGGTGCAGCAGACTTCTCCTGACTCGCCCATTGCTTCCCCTCAGCAGTGTATTTCAGTCAATCTGCCTGTTCTGTTACCCGCTCTGTCTCTGGTGAATCCTCTCAACCCCCACAACTCTGGCCTATAGCGCAGTTCTTGTATGCGCAAATAAATAAATCTTTTAAAAAAAAAAATGTGTGTCCACATAAACTACATAGTGAATGGTTTTGTTTTGAGGTTTTTTGGTTTTGGTTTTTTTGTGAGGGTGTACAGGCAGGGAGTAACCTTTTACTTTGTTATCCATCATCTTATTCCTACTTGAGAAATGAGAAAAGAGAAGTTCAGAAATAAAATAATCTAAACAAATTTTAGTACTTGTGATAACAGGCTTTATTTATCTTGAACATTCATATATATTCAATAACATTCTGTTTTGGGGGTGTTGGATAATTTAGGTAATACTCTGTTTTAAGAACCAAAAGTTAAATATACTTCTATCTTGATTTTTGTGGGTATTTTAGGAAGGAGTATTAAACTACCTATTTTTCAAGTTTCTTGATGCTTATTCCATAACTTAATGTTACAAATAAGAACTTTAACATTTGGTAGAGAAAAATGGTAACATAAGAAGAAAACCATGCTTTCATTTTCCTTTGGTGGATATTCAGTGATAACAGCAATTTAAAAGGCCACAAGAAATTTAACACAGAGTCGTGGTTTTTGAATGTCTAACTTCATACCTTCTTCCCCATCACTCAGGAGGTTGGCTGGAATGTGATGACTTAAAAGGTCCATGTTCAGAAAGGCGTGAGAAATTTGAAGTTCCTGCCTCAGAGATACATATTGTTATTTGGGAAAGAAAAATACCCGAAAAGGCAGATGAAGCTGCTTCATACCTTCCGCTTAAAAAGACTAATGATCAGCATACTTTCGGTGGTGAAAAACAAGTATCTCCAGCATTGTGTTCTGCGCCAGATGCTGCCTCAGCTGAAATGTCCTCAGGAACTCACCCCACAAATACCTCAGTTGCTCCTAATACTCTTTCACAGGATGAAACTGTAGCTCATGGAGATCATTTACTTTCGGGTCCAAAAGATTTGGTTGATAGTAATGATATTTTGCCTTTTACATTTGATGAATTACTGGTTACTGCTGATGATCTCCCATTAGAAAACAAATGCATGGCAGAAAAGGCAGAAGTTGTCAAAATAACAAATGCTTTGTGTTCACAGGAGTCTCTGATGGCTTTTTCAGTGTCAGCTACATCTAAGGAAGAACTTACCCAAGACCAATTTGTGGATTTAACTTTTCCATCTCAAGTTGTAAATACAAACATGCAACCAATACAACAACTGAACACAGAAGATACTGTCATTGCTAAACCTGTAAATAATAGTCATGCTACTGATCCTATACAGTTAATAAAGCCAGTAGAAATTGAGGGTATAGTTGCCCTAGGGAAGGACACTTCATCAAAAACTGAAAAATTAAAACCAGAACAACATGTAACATCACTGATGCCAAATTTGAAGAAAAAAGAAATGGCAGCATCTTATCAAACCCTAACGAGTAAGTCTTTGCAGAATCCATCTCTGAAAGAAACTCCGAAGAAACCATTTGTGGGAAGTTGGGTCAAAGGCTTATTGAGCAAGGGTGCTTCTTTTATGCCATCTTGTGTTTCAGCTCATAATCGAAATACTATAACTGATTTGCAGCCTTCAATTAAGGGAGCAAGTAATTTTGGTGGTTTTAAAACTAAAGGTGTAAACCAAAAGGCTAACCGGGCACCCAGGAAAGCTCATGGGTGTGCAGGTAAACCTTCAGCTAGAAACCCTGCACCAAGTCATTCATCAGCTAGCACAGCCTCTAACCTATGTGCTCCTGATAATGTTGATTCAGAAGTTTTGAAGAAATGTGAAAACACCTCCTATGGAGTTCACCTCAACCAGAGTTATCATGGAAATGAAAATGGTGTCTCTTCAGCAAACCATGGAGACTCATTTGAGGATCAGATTCATAAACTTCGTCTAAAACTTCTTAGAAAACTTAAGGCAAAAAAGAAGAAATTAGCTGCTCTTATGTCCTTCTCACAAAATGAAACACTTCCAAGTGAAAATTCAGAACATGTGTCCCATTGTGATTCTCCAAATGATTGTCAAGCAATAGAAGACTTATTAAAAGAACTACAGTATCAAATTGATATTGCTGATAATAAATCTGGATATAGTACAGTTCCTGGTGTTTCCCCATATAATACTCAAACTCATGAAGAAATTCTAGCAGAATTACTATCTCCTACAACTGTTGTTTCAACTGAACTCTCAGAAAATGGGGAGAATGACTTTAGGTATTTAGAAATGGGAGATAACCAGGTCCCAGCATCAGTTCCTAGTGAATTAACCAATATTCCCCAAAATACACATCTGAAACAGGACCATAACTATTATAGCCCCAACAAGAAAAATCAATGTGAAGCTCAACCAGATTCATTAGTAAATAATGCCTGTGTTAGAACATTGAGTTTGGAGAGTTCAATGAAGACTGATATTTTTGATGACTTTTTTTCTACGTCAACGTTTAATTCTTTAGCAAATGACACCTTAGAATTACCTCATTTTGATGAATATCTGTTTGAGAGTTGTTGAATGCTTGTTAACTCAGTGTAATATTTATTATTGCTTCTGGAAAATGTTACTATGTAAGTAGTTTGTAAACTGGCCTTGTCATGAATAAAATATAAGCTGCTGAAGGTTTTACATAAAGCATGTATAATCTGTTTTATAAATTTAAATGATCTAGAATTTGTTCTTGTTGGTTTCTTTTGTACAAGTAAGCCTGTGAGGATTTCAAAACGTTAAAGGTGAAAAGCAGTTTGTACAATCAGGTGCATTAAATTTCTACATTTTAAGTTTTGGTTATGTTGGTTTAAGAATAACACTAGTTGCTACAAACTCTAAGGGTTCTGTGGTCTTACAAAAGAGTGTAAGCCTGCTGCTCCTCATGCCAGTAGAAAGCTGCAGCATGTCAGCTTCCCTTATACACGCACCTCCTTTTTCTCTACTTATACAGCAGGAAATCTTGTTGCGGAAACTTGAATGTTAAATCATCAATAAATGATTAAATGAACTATAACAGGAAAAAGTAAGATTTTTATTGTTGATGTGCAAAAGGATTGTTATAAATATCTTTTCCTAACACATTTATTTCTGTAAACAAAGTGTGACATAGTCCAACAATTATGTCTTCAGAGATCATAACTAGTGCTTATAAGACTTGTATGTTCGGTTCTCTTGTATCTAAACTTCTGATTCACTCCTATGAGCAAGATAATTTTATCACATTAAAAACATAAAATGGGGCTAGTAAGTTGTAGAGCTGGGATTGAGCTGAGCAGTTAGAAGTGCTAAATTTACCAATATGTGTTTCACTCTCAAACTTCATTTAAAGTTAGGATGCTCAAACAGCACCACTGCTGCAGCGATTTAGTTGTAGTAGTATTTACTAAGGCTTAAGTGTTGCTGTCTTGGGGTAAAATATTGTGCCAGGGACTCTAATTCATAATCTGTCAAATTTACTCCCAATACTCCCTCTTTTCTGGTTATAAAAGTGATGCACATTTATTATAAGGAAAAAACTGGGGAAATAAAAACAGGAATGTTTGGGATCACCCATTGTGATACTATATGGTAATAACTGCTATAAACAGTTTCATATTTTATAAATATAGACTAACAAATAAAAATGAGATCCTATTGTACCTGTTTGTGTGGGCATTTTTGTCTTAAAATTTGGACAACTGTTGGTAAGTAAGCACATATATATGGTTGGATAGTAATTGCATACATGTGTGGGTTACTATTGAGTCACCTATCTTAGATTTTGAAGTGATTGTACTGTTTTGTTATTGTTCATTGTGCTACAGCTATTGATAAATTTTTGCACAGATCCAGTTTTTATTTTCTGAAAGTGGAACTGCTGGGTCAAAGGATATGCACCTTAAAGTTTTAAATGACTGCTTGTCTTCCTTAAACTCTCATCAACATAAGTAGTAGCGGGGGTGTTGGTGGTAGATTCAGTGTATAAGAGGAAGAGGGTATGACCTTACAGAACAGGAAGTGTTTATCCATTTTAATATTAGGAAAAACAAAATGTATGAGTACAGATGTTAGGAGAGTTGATTAGAGAATGAGAAAAGTCTCATGATTATTTTCTCAGGGAAATGGTAAAACTAACCACTGAGGGTGTGAGAAGAGAAAGACTTGAAGCTGGAGGAGAGGTTTGAACAATCAGTCTCAAAGTAATTGAATAGGGACATGTTAGAGTTAATTAGAGAATGAGAAAAGTCTCATGATTATTTTCTCAGGGAAATGGTAAAACTAACAACTGAGGGTGTGAGAAGAGAAAAGACTTGAGGCTGGAGGAGAGGTTTGAACAATCAGTCTCAAAGTAATTGAATAGGAGCATGCAATAGGCTTGCAAGGCAGTGCTGAATTCATTGTAGGTTTATGGTCATTAACTGAGACCAGCAAGATGGTGGTTTCTTGGTCTCCAGTTATGCTTGATGTTCAGGTATGGGAGTCAGCCAATGTTAGAGGTGTCAGGCAAATCAGAGAGAGGAGAAAGGAATTAAGGTTTTATGACTATAGTGATGTATAGAGAGCCAAGAAGGAACATGGACAGGTGATGACCTTTTAAAAACTGGTAGCAGAGTTCAGTGCATTGGAGGTGGGTTCAAGGAATGCCAGACTGGAACTAGTGGCAGAAGTAAGCTGTTTTAAAAGTGGGAAGTTGAGGGGCTTCCTGGTGGCCTAGGGCTTAAGTCTCAGCACTACCACTTCTGCTTGAGGTAAGTCTGGCCAGGGAGCTAACCCACCTGGCGCAGCAGACCTCTCCTGTATCGCCCACTGTCCCCTTAGCAGTGTATTTCGGTTAATCCACCTGTTCTGTTCCTACTGAGTCTCTGGTGAATACTCTCACCTCTCACACCTCTGGTCTACACCCCAGTTCTTCTATGCAAAAATAAATAAAATTTAAAACAAAAGTGGCGCGCATGAAATTAAGCTTTGGGAGAGTACAGTTATTGGTGATGACAAGGTCTTCAGTATGACATGAAAAGTGCATGAGTGTGGTTGGGTGCCAAGTACATGAAAAGTAAGGAGGGAAGGGAAGTGAGGAAATGAGGGGGTCAGTATGGTATGTGAATATCTTTCTGGAAGGCAAAGTCATCTAAGTGGCAGCAAGAGGCCTGAAAGTAAATAGTAAGCCAGGAGCTAAAATCCTCATGGAAGAGCAGGATACCTTGAAAATGGCAGCTAGCAGCACAAGGAGTGGTATGAGCAGTTCAGTCATTTTGTGTGTTGAAAGCACCAGAGGGTTTGTTATAAGGAAGATGAAACAGTGGTTGAAGTGACACCAAAGATCCAGGAAGAGAAAACAGCCACCATTTGATTGGAGCTGGAGGGGAAGTTGTTTCTTTAGGGGACATTCAGATTTCATTTTGCACAAGGGCAGGGAAGAGACTACAAAATTTGAGGACAGGGAAAGGCCTGTCGATCACAGACCACATGATTAAGAGGGCACTTGGATAGGAGTGGGAGATGGGAGAAGTCAGACCTAGAGTTTAATGTCCTTGGAGGCTCAGAGTTCATAAGGTGACAGACAACAGGTTATGATGGGATCTCTTTGGGATAGGCATTGGGAAGATGAGTTGTAATTATAGCACCCCTCTTGGGATTGGCTTCTTGGGCATTTTGAAACTCCGTATTTTCTGAATATGGAGTTTGGGAGCAAGGTAGCTGAAGGAGGAGCATGAGGAACTCTTTGGGCTGCCTTTAGTCCTGTGCTGGTTGAATTGGAGTCATAATATTGTTATAGGACAGAGAGAGGGGCAGCCCAAACCCCGCAAACCTGCCTATTCTAAATGGGTTCTGCCATCCGCCGCATCAACACAAAACATATGAGACTTTAATGGGAAGGAACTTTAATAAAACTAGGAAACAATACAGGTGAGGCAAATAATCTAGTTTCTAAATCAAGCACCCAAAGTTACCCGTCCCCTCGTGGGTAAAAGTCCATCCATATGGGAATGGCGCAGAGCAAGGCCCCAAAGCCTGCCACAAGTCTAAAGCATCTTCCAGTGGGGACCCACAGAAAAGGGTCACAAACAACCGGACAAGCCCGGAAGGAAAAGAGCAAAATCAACATCAAGATAAAAGCTGCCATTGTCACCTCCCCACGGGTCTCACCCACGTCTGTGTCACCCAGTCCACGACCAAAAGACAAGCACAGTTTCTTCACGTGTCTCTAGGCTCCATGCGCCTCCTCCAGGTCTCCTGGCTCCATCCTGCTTCCTTCCTTCCTCAGTCTCTTCTTGCAGCTTCTTCTCTTCCTGCTCAGCTCCACCCTTCCTTGGGTGGGGCAGGGAACCTCCCCCTTTCCTGGGGACCACCCTGTTACAATATGTCTATCCTTTAAATATAAGGGTATTAAACTTTGTCATGAGTCAGTTTTGTTTTTCAATTGACCATAATTTTTAATGGTTTCCCAAAAATTACATATTATTTTACAGTTTTTCCTTTTGGTACTATATTTTATTTTATTTTTATTTTTTATTTTTTGGTGGGACGCTCGCCGGCGGCCGGGGAACGAACTGGCGCTGCAGAGGCTGCGGGCAGCGCTCAACCGCTGCGCCACCAGGGGAGGCCCTTGGTACTGTATTTTAGTAAGTCATTTTCATTTCCCCCCAAATATATATTTACATATATCTTGTATATGTATGAAAGAAATGATTTTTTTCTTCCCCCCTCTTTTTTTTTTTTTTTGGTTATGACAAAAAAAAAAGTCTTCAATTCTTTAGGAATGTATTTTTATGTATTGCACTGAAGTTTCTTTATCCCCCGAATAGTAAATTTTTCACTAATACTGTTTATCAAATTTGCTGGAATACCATTTATTGAATAATCTCACAGTTCTTTGACCATTCAGAATATACCATTTATGTGTCTTTCATGTTAAATTTATTAGCAAATGTCCAATACCTTTAATATGTTGAGATTATAGGGGGGCAAATTTAGTGATCATTTATAGAATGTCAATTAAAAGGTGCAATACCAATTTTCCATAAGAAAGAGAGACTGAGAGGAAAGTTACTTGTTTTTTCCTTCCAGTTAGCATTATCACAAGAGTACACTCTGCAAGTCAGAAGAAGTATGAAAAGTGCAAAACACATTTTTTTTTCTTTTGCTGGGAACAAAAACAACACAAAACTCGCTGGCTTCTCCCAATTTAGAGTCTGGGGAACAGAAGACATTCTCAGTATGTGTTATAGCAAGGGAGGAAGAGGATGAGTGTGGAATCAATCTGGTGAGAAAAAGCATCCCGAAGAAGCGAGTGTCATTAACAAATGTCTTCATTCTTGACAGTTTCTAGAGGTGATTCCTTTTCTGGGCAACCCTGACACAGGTAATGTGCTACCCCCGTCGCTTGGCAGATGTTGCCTGCTCTCTGAGTTTATGTGAGGCTTTTTCTGGCCCTCTTTGTTTTCACTGCCAGGAGCTCTGTATCTGCCTCCCCTTAGGCAGCCACAGAGGAGGCTGAAAGGCTCATGGGGTTGCTTCTAAGTAAAGCAGATCCATGAAATAAAAGGTGTTTATTCTATAAGGTAGCAGAAGAGCTAAAGTGGCAATAAATGTGGTACCAGAGAATATTAAAATAATCAGGAGAGTAAATATAACTACCGAAGCAAGCGGTCATCAGGAGACAAGGAGTTCCTGTGCAACACTTCAAGAAATCTCAAATGAAAATGCATTTGTGGGGCCTCCCTTGTGGTGCAGGCAGTTGAGCGCAGCGCTGTGAAGCTGTCTGCAGCCTCTACAGTGCCGGTTCGATCCCCACCAGCCGCGGAGATACCCACATGGCACGACAGACCTCTTCTGTCTTGCCCGCTGCTTCTCTCAGCAGTGTATTTCGGTCAGTCTGCCTGTTCTGCTCCCCGCTCTGTCTCTGGTATTCACCTCTCACCCTCCCGTTCTGCACATCTGGCCTGTACCCCGGTTCTTGTATAAATAAATAAATCTTTAAAAAAATGTTTCCCCAAATCTCCCAAAAGAATAATAAAAAAAAGCATTTGTTTAGTTATTGCGGGGACTTAATTGCTTCATCCTTGTCAGGCTTCTCTTTATTAGGCTTTCCCACTGGGTTTGGAGGCAGGGCTTACCTAATTATGCTGATAAGGTTCACATGTCTCCATAACTCACCTGAGGAATGCTCCAGTCCCTGCCCTAAGGCAGCACAAACCAACCCTATGCAGCAGGGTTGTAAAATATTTGCAGTTGTAAACTGCTGTCCCCGGCCATAGAATTTGTGGTTATTTAAAGAATCCTTGTGTTTGGTAGTTAATAGAGAAATCCTCATTTAGGACTTCAGTTCCGTATCGGGTCCTATCCATTGCAGATTTTTACCTATGTAGTATAGTGAATTTGAATTATCAGGCTAGCCTAAACTCTAGTACAAGTGACTATATTGATATTTATTCAATTAAGTATGAATAAACTGTCATGCTCACGCAGACATATCTACTCAGTTTACTACTCAGTTTACTTAGCTGAGAATCTCATTTTAAAGTGTGGATTTTAGGGCCTCCCTGGTGGCCTAGGGGTTAAGTCTCAATGCTATCACCACTGTAGCGATCCACAGCCAGGACACTAACCCACATGGCACAGCAGACCTCTCCTCTCTGCCTGCTGCTCCCCTCAGCAGTGTATTTCAGTAAGTCTGCTCTGCTCCCCACTCTGTCTCTGGTGACTCTGGTGAATTCTCTCACCCCCTGCATCTCTGGCTTACACCTCAACTCTTCTACGCGTAAATAAGTAAAAATCTTAAAAAAAAATTAAAAATAAAAATAAAGTGAGGATTTGATTTACTTGTCTTGGAATAACTAGTTTGAGTCATCTTTGACAGAAAATACTTTTTGTTGTTTTGTTTTTTCTTAAAAAAAAAAAAAAAGTGGGCCTCCCTGGTGGCGCAGCGGTTGAGCGTGGGCTGCAAAGCTGCCCGCAGCCTCTGCAGCGCTGGTTCCATCCCGGCTGGAGGGCAAGGGTCCCACATGGTGCGCAGACCTCTCCTGTCGCGTCCGCTGCTCCCCTCAGCAGTGTATTTCACCAGTCTGCCTGTTCTGTTCCCTGCTCTGTCTCTGTTGAATCCTCTCACCCTACCCTCCTGTGCTTCTGACTGTACCCAATGCTTGTATAAATAAATAAATAAATAAATATTAAAAAAAAGTAATGAAAAGACTGACTTCCTACAAAGGGGTGTAGATGGGACCCACAGAGTGACCCTGAAAGGGTCAGTACATCATAGCCCTTCTCATTCAGTCCTTCTAGACTGTAATAGTAAAGTACGAAGTGCTGACTTCTCAAGGCAGTTCTCAAGACCTTTATTATTAATTTTATATATCTATTTAATATCTTAGGGAAAAAATGGTTTCTTTTTGACTTATCAATGGTAGTGAACTAGTCTATGTGTTACCTTAAAATCTTTAGTAATTTTTTCCATACCTAAGCACTTTGGATTTGACATGCTTTATGAACTTTACCAGTTATTAGTATACAACTTGAATAAATAAAATTCAAAGCCAGGCCTTCAAAATCTGGAGGCCAAGAACTGCTCCAGAGGGTCTGTGACTCCCTTGGAGATTATAAACCATTTTTTTTTTTTCCTGTGGCTATATACCGGAAAGAAAGTCCTTAGCTTCCGTGCGGGAAACAGAATATTTTACCTCCCAAATTTGCAACTTTAGCAAGTGGATTGTTTTGAGCTGAAGGCAATTTGGACCCACCTGACTCAGGAAGGCTTCTCTTAATCTCTCCCTTAACTGCCTATGGTAATTGAGATAGAAGACCTGTGCCCGCAAGTGAGCGGTCACTGGAGATAACAACAAAGTGTAAGAGTTAACTATGGTGTACTGGGGGGAATTTAGCAAAGCCTGTTTGTTCAAAGTCCTCTCTGTGTTCCTTTGTCTCTACATGTCATGGCAAACTTTTGTTTACCAAACATTTGCTCTTCTCTTCCTCTGAATTGCCTTCTTCACTTTTGAAGCCTCAGACCCCTAGCTACTCCTTAACTCAGGATTATATAAAAATCCTAATTGTCTGGGCCTTCTTGGTGGTGCAGGCAGTTGAGTGCCGCACTGTGAAGCTATTCACAGCCTCTGCAGTGTGGGTTCGATACCGGCCGGCCAGCGAGAATCCCACATGGCGCAGGCAGACCTCTCCTGTCTCGCCCGCTGCTCCCCTCAGCAGTGTGTTTCATCAGTCTGCCTGCTCTGTTCCCCGTTCTGTCTCTGGTGAATCCTCTCACCCTCTTGCCCATCTGGCCTGTACCTAGCTCTTGTATAAATAAAATAAATCTTAAAAAAAAAAACCTAATCGTCTGTCTGAGAACTCTATGTCTTTATGGGGTTCTCCTATGTATGATACTAACTTTATTTTTCTCCTGTTTACCTGTCTTATGCAATTTTTAGACCAGTCAAAAAAGCAAGAATAAAAGGAGAGAAAGTTTTCCTCCTGATTTTCCACAGGGTTCCATGGACTCCTAAGTAGTCTCCTGAGAAGTTTATCTTAAATAAAAGAAGTTTAACTTAAAGTTTAGCTTTAAAAAAATGAAGATTATTTCTGGGACTAGGATCTAGATGAATTCGACAGTGGAAAATCATCCACAAGTAAGGTAAACTATAGAGTGTGTACTATATAATTTTTGGTATTTCCATGTTTAAGAACCTTCCACATTCATAATGTTAAGTGCCGACATTTTCTGAGTCACCTGGGTTCTAAAGGTGAGCATCACCCTGGCATTTCCCTTTTCTTTCAACCCCTAAGTCTTGTTCAGTCTTCCCTTGAATTGCATCCATGTCTTTTTTTCTATATCTCCTTTCCACAGGAGCCTTATCACCTCTCCTTTGAAATGCAATTGCCTTTTAACTATTTTCTGATCTCCTATCTCCCCTACAACCAGACCAACCACCTAAAATAAATTTCATTATGTTCAGAAACAGAAACCTTTTTAATACTCCTTTACTTTACAGGGTTGTCTAGCCTCATTCCTTGATTTTCCATGCCCTTCTACAAGTAAAGAACATTCTACTGCACCCTAATTAAATTATACACATGTCCCTTATCCTGGGATATACTGTATATAATGAGATGTACTGGTTATCTCACCACCCACCCAAAAACTTCCCCAACCTTAAAATACCCCTTTCCCATCTTTGACCAATCCAGATCTTTCAAAGTTGTTTCACATTTTCCATGAAGACACACTCCAGCCTATCCATGTTGACTCTCTCCCACACATGCCACTCATGTGGCATGACACTTTATCATATGCATTTTTATGTGATGGTCTGTGTCTACTAAGCACGTATCTGAGGAGGCAGGGATTGCTTCTGTCCTGAGTGTGGGCTGTGTGACAGGTCTGTGCTAGATGAGCACGGAGAGTGAATGAAGACATGGTCCTTGCTCGCAAAAGTTCATTTTCCAGGGTAAGCGACATCAAGGTGGTGTGATGAAAGCATGGAGAAGGGGTGTCTAAGTCGGATGAGGCAATGTTTGGGGAAGTGTCCCTGAGAAGGTAACACCTCAGGAGATGTCACCCAGGTAAGCAGGGCAGAGGTGAGCAAGAGCACATCAGGGGCAAGTGAAAGGCATCTGGGTGGGGGAGAGAGGGGGTGAAAGTAAGGCAGCAGGAACCATTCAAGGAACTCCTGATATGTACTTATAACTACAAGAAAGTTTTACAAAGGGACATGGTAGAAGACAAGGCTGTGGATCATGAAAATCTTTGTGTGCTAAACTCAAGAATCTGAACTCTATCCTGAAGGAAATCCACTGGAACCTAAAATGATCACTAGCGACAGAAAACGGTCTCTGCCCCCAGGAACTTATAACCTAATGTAAATATACTCGGTTTCAGAGTGGAAAGACATTTTCTAAATGCTCATAACTTTGATAATAGCAAATTACCAAAATTACACCATCTTCATCTTGAAAGGTAGACCAGAAAGTGTATAAAACGATTTTGTGACCTTATACCCCCCTCACCATTTTCTTATTACCACTCTAGGGTACCCTTAAGTGTAGGTGGAAAGTTGAGAATTTTGATGGCCTTCAGAGAGATCCTATTATTTTCCCTGAAATTTCACCTTAAGCACAATATTGTGGCTCCTTTAGGATTCCTAAACAGAGAATATGTTATTACCAAGTTATCTGATAAATAATTACCAATCAGCACTTACCAAGGCATTCCCTAAGAAACAGTCTGTTAACTATACTTTCTCATAGGTCTCTAAATCTATCCATGATGGGTAGATCCCAGGGACAAAGCAATTACTGGTGGGACCTCAATCTTGGGAGAAATAAATTATATCATCCTGTTATTTTGTGATCCTCTGTCTTATAGACATTCTTAAGTGAATCATCTGCTTGCAAAACAACTGTGAGACCAGAATTGAAAATGTCACTCAAGACCTTTTAACAGGAACTCACAAGGAACAAGCAATTTCTGCTTGAGTTTAATTTCCGGGAAAATGCTGACAGCAACCTTAAGTAAAAGTTAATACATTTGCCTCGATTCAAAAACTGCAACAGAGCTTAATTTAGCATATGATTTCTGAGGGTGATCGTGCTTTTACTAACTTTTAGTAGCACGCTTTTTCTTGCACGCTTTCATCTGTAGGGCTCCTCAAATACTTTTGGCAATGGATAAGGTAATACAGAATAACTGCATTTGCTTTTGGTGATATAGGGATTTTCTGAGAGAAATCAATTATATTTATTCATCCACCTGTCAGTGAGCAACTTTTTTGTTTTGTTTTTAGCCAGCACGTTAATTCGGGTTGGCAAACATTGTTGGGCAGGTCTCCTGCAGCAAATGTGCTTGTTTCCCCGGGTAATATGGTAAGGAATGTAATTGCCAAGGAACAGGCTGCCATTCCAGGAGCGGCGTCACGCTTGGTTCCAGCCTCGTCACGTTGCAGACACTATGAGGACACAGTCCGCCTCTCTCCTAGAAACACGGCGGCGTCAGAATACAATTCCATTAAAAACCTCTAGCTGCCACTTTAAAAACAATGTGCCGACGTCCCTGGGTGGGCTCGAACCACCAACCTTTCGGTTAACAGCCGAACGCGCTAACCGATTGCGCCACAGAGACCGGGCTGCTTCGTGCGCCGCGTGGTATGTACAGATTTTCGCCGCGGCGGCAGCGCGGACTCTCCACGCCCCGGGCATTGCCGCGCCAGCGCCGCAGAGGAGCGCGCGGAGGCGGCCGCGGGCGGGGCTGGCTGCGGGCAGAGCCTGCGCGGGCGCCCGAGGGGAGCAGCCCCGGCCGCGGGCCCACTGGGCGGGGCCGGCGGGCGGACGTTCGGGCGGAGTCGCGGGGCTCCGCCGCGGACAAAGCTGAAGCGCAACCGCCTCGGCGCCCTCAGGAGCGCGGCGGCCGGGAGGGGTGGGGGGCGCTTTCCGCGTCAGCGCGGGCAGGTTTCCTCAGTCGGCCTCGCGCGTGCGCCGCCTGCGGGGCCCTGACCATGGCGGCGGCAGCGTGTGGTCGGACGCCGAGGTCTTGGGCGGCTGGCGCGGTCGCGCAGACAGCCCCGGCGTAAAATTCCTTCCATACTGTGAGAAGAACAGGGTGCCCTGAACTTTAGGGCTTTTTCTCAACGTGTGTGTGTGTGTGTGTGTGTGTGTCTTCCTCCCCCTGTGTGTGTGTCTTGTGTGTGTGTGTGTGTGTCTTCCTCCCCCTGTGTGTGTGTCTTCCTCCCCCTGCACAATGTTTTCTTTTCTCACCATCCCATCATAAAATTGTAATATCATGATTACAATTGTTTGCTAGAGATAAATAAATCAGTGCTTAGTGCATAAAAAAAAAAGTCAACTGTTTTCACCTCCAGTTTTGGTGGAGCATGGCTTGCTTCGAGATCTAGGGGGTCTCAGAAGGGGCTTTATGAAGAGGTGACAATAAAGAGTCACCTTTGATTTGACAGGGCCCCAGAAGGCTTCCTTCTTTCCTTGACTTCTGAATTTACCCTTGGAAAAGAGGCTTCCGTATCTGTGAAGGAGGGCGGTAAGACCTTCTTAGCCTTGTGCCATATCCTTAGAAGGATGAGGAAAACAATTCCTAACTTGGTTTTCTTCTGGATAGTCCAGTCACTAGAGCTTATTTGGGACCCGCTCCCCTTCCCCCCTCACTGACAGAATGGGGAATTCACTCTAACTCCACAAGTAAATCCAATCTCCTGTGTTCCATGTTCTGTTTGTGTTGTGAGAGACGCTCCTGTGCTCCCCTCTTCCTTCTCCCTCCACTCCCTCCCGACTAGTTCCACATCTCACCATTTAAAAATTTTAAGCGCACAGTTCAGTGATGTTAAGTACATTCACATTGCAGTGTAACCTTCAGCAGTATCCATCTTCCAGAACGTTTTCATGTTCCTAAACTGAAACTCTGTGCATGTGAGCACGGGATTAGTAAGAGTCAAGGAATTTTCCCACTAGCTCTGGTCTCCAGGCATAGGTCACCTTGTACAGTTTCTAGCCCTTAAATAAAACCGATATTACATAAGAATCTTGTATATGACAAACTTTCATGTTCCGAAGGTGTGTCCTTCCCCATCCTTTGATGTAGAAAAAGAATGATTGACAAGTTTCTGGTTGCTAGGAGTAAAGATGGGAAGGTGCCCCAACACCTGGAACAAAGAGGTTCCTCAAGACCCCCTCCCACACTAAACAATGCTGTATCACTTCACCACGCTGTCCCTCTACAAGACACTTTCTTTGGAAGTGCTAGTTTCGCTGCCTCCTTTTCTGGTCACAAGAAAATAAACACTTGTCCTCTGTGCACTCTGTTTTGGCAGTGTCTTTTATCCCAGTCATGCACCAAAAGAACAGACTCACTGAGTTGGGTTATACACCCATAAAAGACTAACTCCTCACTCCCTTCTTGCCCCAGTTCCTAGCAACTACCATTCCACTTTGTCTTCTAAATTTGTTTGTTTTTGATACTTCATCTAAGTGGAATCATACAGTATTTGTCCTTTTGTGACTATCTTGTTTCACTTAACATAACGTTGGCACCATTCATCTATGTTGTAGCATGAGCCAGAATTCCATTTCTTTCTAAAACAGAGTCATAGAGTCCATTGAATGTATACACCATATTTCCTTTACCCTGTCTTCTGTTGATGGCACTTGGACTGCTCTCATCTTTTGGCTGTTATGAAGAATGATGCAGGGAATATGGGTGTACAGGTATCTCTTCGACACTCTGCTTCCAATTCTTTTGGGCATATACTCAGAAGTAAAATTCATGAATCATATGGTCATTCTATTTTTAATTTTTTCACCGACCATACCATTTTCCTATAGTGGTTGTACCACCATTTAATATTACTACCAACAGTGTACAAAAGGATTTTGTTTTTTCCATATCTTCACCAATATTATTTTCTTAAAAAAATTTTTAGATGTAATTGACATATATTAGCTTCAGTTATATAATCTGTGTTTAGATATATGTATAAATTCACTTATTATTTCCTTCCTCTACCCTTCCTTTCATTCTTCCTTCCTCTCTTCTTCCCTTTTTAGTTGATTCCTTAAAAAAAAAAAACTTTCAGATGTATAAGAAATAGAATTTTATTTTTTAAATAACTCCTTTAAATTTCTATTTTGATTTCCTATCCTTCTGCTTCAAAAAACACAAATCAAGTCAGACCAGTCAAGTCAGGATTGCCTCTGCCTCCTTCTCTGGAGTTGTTTCCAAGTGATAAGACTTTGGAGGATGGTCACTCATCTGGTCTTGGAGTCACAAGTGTACCCAGGTTGTAGAGAAATTTTGCTCCTATTGCAGGGCCCATGGCTCTCTTGTGTTTCAACTCAGGTGATAATTTGTATATCAGGACCCACAAAATGGAGACTGCCCCAGAGTCTTGACCCACATCACAAATCTAACCCAACATAACAAGTCTAAGCCCACATCACAAATCTACATCTAACGTAAGCCAGTTACCATCCTCCAACTCAGATTAGTCAGTATAACTTACCCTAGAAAATAGGACCTGCTAGGCTTACAAGGAAATCCCTGACCTAACCAGTCACGCCCAGTTTCCATATTGCCTAACACCCTATAATACTTGCTCTTGCCCAGAAGCCCTCAGGAGTAGTGTCCACTGCTTATGAGGTGCTGTGTTCCCCCAACTCATGGATTATTTTCCCTTGAATAAAGGACAGCCAACTTGTTACTGCCAACTAAAATCAGCAAGGAAAAGTGCACTTCTCTCCTTGATATCAACTAAGGGCACAAGGTAAAAAGGAAAGGCGCAGGGGAATGTTTTGGACAGTTTTGCAAAGAAACTGGGTCAACAACAACAAAAAAGTTGTCTCTGAACAAATCAGTAGCCTCAAAGAAAGACAGGCTTCAAAGTTTATGGTATTGCTAAAACTCCCAGTTCCCAGAAGATAAGGATTTAAAAAGATAGGGTAAAAAAACACAAAAAGGTAACAACCCTTCTTGTTTTCCTCAATGACATCAAATAGATACGTTGATTGGACATCTGCCCAGACTTTTTCCGTAAAAATCCTGGAAAATGTAAAATGTTTTCCTTGCAGACTGTATAAAATTCTCATTGTGAGGTTAGGAATTCGGTCAGCTTTCTCAGAGCATCTGGAGGGTGTTCCCAGCTCCAGTGCTCAGCCTTGATTCTGTAATAAACTCACTAACTTTTGCTTGGTTTAATTTATTTAAGTCAACATTACTAAATTGTTTTAATTTTCCCATTTGACAGAGGGAAAGAAATCACTTGTGAAGTTGGTGTTGTCACATTAGCCATTCTGTAAAATTCCCTTTGCTCACAGGACATGCTGTAGACTAAGTGTGTCTGCCCTAAGTTCAATGTTGAAATCTAATCCCCAGTGTGATGGCATTTGGATATTGGGACTTGGGGAGATAATTAGGCCAATTATCTAATGAGGGTGGGGCTCTCATGAAAGGGACTTGTGCCCTTTTAAGAAAAGGCCAGGGGCCTCCCTGGTGGCCTAGGGATTAAGTCTCAGTGTTATCACTGATAAACCTTAAAGTCAATCCTGGCCAGGGAACTAATCCACATATGGCTGCTCCCCTTAGCAGTGCATTTCAGCAAATCTGCCTGTTCTGCTCCCCACTCTGTTCTCTAGTCTGCCTCTGGTGAATCCTCTCACCCTGTACCTCTGGCCTACACCCCAGGTCTTCTACAAACACAAAAAAGTAAAGGCCAGAGAGCCAGCTCTGTCTCCTTTCACCTCGTAAGGATGCAATGTGAGTTCTGTAATCTAACCCAGAAGAGGGCTCTCATCAAAATCTGACTATGCCAGCATTCTGATCTTGGACTTCCTGTCTCCAGAACTGTGAGAAATAAGTGTATGTTGTTTATAAGTCTCCCAGTCTATAGTTACTTTGTTATAGCTGCCCAAACTAACTAAGATAGGATCCCAAGTATTTCTATTCTTATCAGCCTCCATTCTATCCCCCCATTTTTCCAATCCCAGATGGTGGAAAGTGAAAGTGTTTGTAAGTTTTTATATGCACCAGTATGGGTGAATGGAAGTAAAAGAAGGAAATAACCATTAAATATACTTTTAATGCCTTAAGTCCCACCTGAAAATTTAAGGATGTTCTTTCAGTCATACATATTTGAAAATAGTCTAATTTTTTCTATCAAGCTGAGCTCTGAGGGCTCTCTTATATATTCATGTGGGTGCAGTGGTTTTTTAAAAGGAAGATGGTATTAATAAGCTAATTATGTTTAAGTAATTATAGGTACTTGTCAAACTATAAAGCAAACACTCCAGGAACTGGATGGTTCTGTCCAGTGAAATGACACTTTCAACTACAAGTTCCCATAAAATGGGAACTCTCCTACAAAGAGAGTTTAGTAGACTTTGCATCCAACTGAATCCCCAACACCAATAACAGCGTCTGGCATATAGTAAGTGCTCAATAACTATGTGCTGAATCAGTGAGTAAATGAAAGCCATAAGACACAGAATAAATAAAACGTGAGAAAAAAATAAATTCCTAATATAAGGAGTACTTATCAATTAATATGAAAAAACTTCTTTACAATTCAATTATAAAAACCAATGAAGCAAACAGAAATAATGTAGACATCGAGTCGTCACCAAAGAATAAATACAAATGACCAATA